CTTCTCAAATGTCATATCATCCGACTATTCTGGGCTCATGTACAGGTGCTCAATGTTGTCTTCTTCGTACGTAGAGAGCAAATGGTACTGCATCTCGACGCGTTCTTCCTTGGCCCGGACTTGCTCAAACACTGTCACAAGCGCAATCACACTCAAAAACAGCATCGCACACAACGCCACTTGGTGCACCCACAGCGTAAACATGCCCAGGATGCCGTTCGTGCACCACGTCTGCACCACATCCTTGTGGTTCTGCGACATGGGGGCACAGGCAGAAACCGAGTAGTACGACGCTTCGAGCGCGGCCAGCGCGGCCAACTGGTCGGCGATCGGGTCCAAGTACCCGACTTGCAGCCGCTTGCGTGTGTCTTCAGGCAATGTTGTCGCAAACTTCTGCAGCAACTCTTCGATCGCCGACGCATCATGCACACTCGCGTGGAAGTTGGACATTGTCGGCCCAAACAGCGTCGTGTTGGCGGGGCATTCGACAAAGTACTGCACCGCGGAATCGTTGTGGAACAGCATCATCGTGTTGGCGGCGGGCGCCACGCAGAAGTCGGCCGACTCGATCGAGTTGGACAAGTAGATGCCAAACAACCCGTGGGAGGATGGAATCACCACGAGAATGAGGAACACCGCCATGCGCAGCGCCGACGACATACTCCACCCAATCGCGGAAATCGCCAGGAAGCACGCTAGCGTCATGGTCAAGATGATGCCGTTCGTCGACGACTTCATCCAGAAGTACTCCTCTTCCCACTGGTTTGCCAAGTGCGAAAAGTTGGACGGCAGGCCGTGCGTCGAGTTGGCCAACGAATGTGAAATGTGCACCAATCTACGAATGTATGAGAATGGCAACGAAACGACGACAGAGACTACGAACGATCGAGAAACAACAAGGAGGGGTGTGTACCTCATGGCTTCCAACGCGAGGTCGGTCGCGTTCGCAGGTAACGTGTCCTTGAACGTCAGCAGCATGTCGTCCGTGTTCGCTCGCATGCCTTGGGCGATGGCCGACACGTTGGCGCCGATACCGTGGATGGAATGAAACGTGTTTGACATGTTGTGCATGCTATGGGACACGCGATGCACGCTGTAGTCCACTTGGGCCTCGGCCAACAGCCCTCCCAACGCGCTCAGCGCAGTGAAACCGAGCAGGATCACGGCAAAGATGTCGTTGGAGCCGTGATGATTCCAATTGCGTCGAAGGCGAGTGTACGCGGCGTACGAGGGAGAGGTGCGACTTGGCGTGCCTGCCCCTAATGCCATCACGCGACGAACCACAATCAACAGCAGCAGCGACATGACGAGCACACCAATGGCAAAGCAGCCCAACGTCAACTGCCGCAAGAACGTCTTGTACGCAGGGTCATAAGGCGAGAAGTCCGCAGGGCCTCCAAAAACGCGGTGGAAGTCATGCAGGAAGCTGATCGCTTCGTCGGCGGCGCTGAAGTTCATTCTGGGACGCGAAGAATATGGATCGATCCTGGCTCTTGCATCCGCAAGAGAAACCGATTTCGGTTAAAATATTAACCCCAATATTCCATCGATCCATACAAACGTCAAGTTGTTTTTTGACGAACCAGACGAGGGAACCTTGTTCGGATAAATATATCCGGACATTACGTTAACAGCTTTTCTTCTTGCAGAACTCGGACGTTTGATATTATTTTAACTAGTAGTGCTTGATATTTTAATATCAAGCACTACTAGTTATAATAATATCAAACGTCCGAGTACATGAATGATACTAGTATTAAAATACTAGTATCATTCATGTTCGTTTTTAAATACTACTAGTAGTTAGTTAGTACTACTAGTAGTATTTAAAAACGAACATGAATGATATTAATATCAAGTCCGGATACCTGTCAATGAAAATTTCCCCCAGAAGATGATAAAAACTGGGTGATTGTTGTTTCGTCGGAGCTGCTGTACATGGCAAGGATACAGTTGTTAGTTAGCGTTCCACCAATATTGTTGATTTAACTAATACTACTACGTAGTATCATACTAACTTAGTCCTACAGTACGTAGTACTTGAAGTAGTAGGTGACTCGAATGTAAATCGGTCGCCTCGTCACTTGGGTACATACATGCAGACGACGTCATCCATCGCCCAGATCTGCATCATAGGTGTTGACGAAACCATCGCGCGATTTCATTGGCTGCACACCTGACTTGCCATCATACCCAGTGTTCAAAACCTAGGGCGGATACAATAGTAAGTGCTACTACTTGCAACTCCACCACCATAAAGGCGTGCTTGTAAGTAGTTACTGGTGCGGTGATTCGTAGTACATATTCAGTTTGAAGGTTTGGACTAACAGTAGGTTGGAGGGATACTGTATTCCGCCTTGATCGATTGTTTGAAACGCGTTTGAAACCAAAGAAAATGTTTAAAATGTTTCTTTTTCAGACCAACCATAGTTTGTCGCAGTTGTTTTGTCGACGTGTTTCACGAAAAATAAAAAAAACAAAAAAAAAACACGGTGGGAATTATTCCACGGAAACCTCATTTTGATTTGGCCATCATGGAAGCAAGATTGACCGAATTGTCGATTGCGGCGCGCGTGACTGCCGTCGAAGAGGAGGTCCAAGCATTCCTGAGGTCACTGGACACGCTGAAGAAGTCCACCACGCTCGCGCAACGCAACCACGAGCGCAAGAAGCTCTACAAAACCGAGGAATTCATTCGCTTGGACATTGAGGACGAGCTGCTCAAGTTGCACGAGGTTCCGCCGACCGCGCCCGATGCCCCCGTGCCATCTGACGAGCTGTCTCAGTGTAAGGATCCTCTGGTCGTGGGCTACGCCACGCGTTTGAATGCCCTCCGCGCGCTCTTGACGTTGGAGATTCAGCCGTCCAGCCATACCATCCTCGAAAAAGTGTACATGTTTGTCCGAGCGGCGACGTTTGCGCTCGTCATGTTTGGTGGGTTCTTTGTCGTGTGCTTTCTAGTGCCTCTCCGATGGATCCACCTGATCTTGCGCCAATTTGGTGTCCCCAACTACTACCTGCCCATGGATTGGATCCAAACAACGTTCGGACTCGCGCTCTGCGTGGCGTCGGGCATCCAGATCTCGACCAACGACCGGGTCAACCTCACGATGGAGACGACGAAGAACGATCCGACGGTCGTCATGTTCACGTACGTTTCCTCCCTTATCATCATGCCGCATTCCGTCGTCATGCCTAGACACGGCTCCAACTTGGATGGGTTGATGATCCAAGGCACGTCGCCGACGTCATTGAAATTCATTGGCAAGAAGGCGCTGTTCATGCTTCCCATTGTGGGCTGGGGATTCCGTTGGGGATTTGGGAACATTCCCATCGATCGATCCAATCGGTACGTTCCCATCCTTCTTGTTCATGTCATTACGTCCCCATCTGTACGGTCATAGGGAAGCGTCCAAGCGAAGCCTCAAAGTGCTGGCTAAAGCCGTACTGGAATACGGCCGATCCGTGGCCATCTCACCCGAAGGGTCGCGCTCCAAGACTGGACAGGTAGCTACCTTCCATCTACCCTCTTCTTTCTGACCATATATATATGGCCCAGTTGCAAGACTTTAAGAAAGGGCCATTCTACTTGCAATCAGACGTCAACAAGTCCATCACGCCGGCCATCGTCCACGGCGCGTTCGAGCTATGGCCGCCCGGCCGCATCTTCACGTTGTCTGGCAAAGCGCATGTGGACTACCTCCCTCAGTTCCATGTCGACCCGCACAAGTCCCGCAACGCCAACCGCCTCGCGCTTCGCCGTGTGTACTTGACGGCATTGGCGAAACCCGTGCCAGGTCCGTTCGTCCATCTTTCTTCCCCATTCTCATATAAAGGTCGACTTGTAGCGGACCTGTCGACAGCGCCAGACACGCCGCACGTTCTCATGCATGTGTGGAGCATCATGTGCCTGTGGGTCGTGATCCCTGGCGCCGTCGCGGCCATCTGCGGCGCCATTTCCAGGCTCAGCACCGTCCTCGGCGTCTCCACGACGTCGGGCACGGCGCAATTGGTGGCGTCTGTGATGCTGGGGTTGGAAACATTCATGCATTTTACATGTTAACTATATACAGACACCGGCGGTCGTGAATATTACTACTAGTGAAAATGTGTGACAACGTTACACCTCGTCCGCTTCGGCCAGTTCCTGCGACAGCGTGCGGGCTCGGTCGACCACGCTGTGGTTGGGGACGTCCACTGGGGGTGCTGCTACTGCCGCTGTTTCAGTGGCGGCGGCGGTGGCCACATGGAGCGGCGGCTCCGCGGGGGATGTCGTGGATGAAAGTGAAAACACCCGCTGCGCGTCCACGACTTCATTCGGCGGGGGGTCCTGCAGTTCGTCCTTGGCCATCTCGGCCACAAACACATTCGCGTCGGCATACCCCTTGACGATGTTGCCTGCATGTTGGCTGCGTCGGAGGTACGCGCCTTCCAACTCGTAGATTTGCCGCTCCAGTTGGGTCAATTCTTCTTGTTCGTCGGAGCGTTTGCCCATCCACGCTTTGAGTTCTTCGTCCATCTTGCGGGTCTCCTCGTCCATCTTTAACGCCGCCGCTGCGGTAGTACTAGTAATCTCGTCGTCGTGTGCATGTGGTATCGAGTCAGTGGCGGCGGGTGGGTCGTGGTCGGCGTCCTCCTTACTCTTGGGGACGCTGACACCTCGTGGTGACCGTCGACGACGCACGGCACCCGCCTGTGTCTCGTTGGTCGATTCGTGTGTGTCTATCTCGACCGGTTTGCCGTGTCGTGAAGGTCGTCGTGGTGTGGTCGATTTGGCGACCTTGGACTTCTTGGACGGCGGCGGCAGCTTCGCGGGGGACTCGACAACTTTACGCTTGGCAGCAGACGTGGGGGACCCGGTGTTGCCGCCGCACGTACACGAACACTTTGAACACGCCGTGCACTCTGCGCACCGCCGCGCTTTGCATCTACATGTAAGCTTCGCCCACACCTTTGCTGGTCCGTTGGTCGTCGACATGGTTTCTGGTTCGGATACGGATGGGTGGTTATCCGGACGTTGGGGCGATGGGGTGCGAGACAGCGGAGTGGTGGCATCATCGTCCGGCGAATTCTTCGCAGGTTGTTTCGGTAGTTCTGGCTCGATGTTGCGGGTCGCACGACGTCTACTGGCAACCGTGTTGGACGTGAAGTTGCCTTCCGAGGACATGGGAGACTGAGGCACTGGCGACTTCTTCGCTCCATCGAGTGGACGCAGCGGGCGTTGTGGCGGGCCATTGCAATAGCATTGGCACTTGACACACTGCTGACAGTCAGAACATCGGCGTGACTTGCATCTACATTTGACGACCGTCGCCGTCTTGATCTTGGAGGGCTTCGTGGACTCGCGGGCAGCCTGCACGGCCGAGTCCATCGCCTCAACTACTCGAGTGGTTTGAATGAGCTTCATTCTGCGCTGCTCTCTGCAGTTTTACTGGAAGCAAGAATCCGGATAGTTGAACAACCGGACATAACGGTCTAAAAACATAACGTTACTTCAACGTTACGCTAAACTATCATACTAGTAAGTTAGTATTTTAATACTAACTTATGCTAGTTTAGCGTAACGTTGAAGTAGTACTACTGTATTAATATTAAAATATTAATACAGTAGTACTATTAATAGTAATGATTCTACTCTAAATACCTACTATTACTATGTGTATGTAGTACGTATTAATAAGTTAGTATTACTATTAATAGTCTAAAATCATAACGTTACATCAACGTTACGCTAACTACAATCATAAGTTAGTATTAATATGATTACAGTAGTACTATTAATAGTAATAATTCAACTATGTGTAGTATAGTACAGAGTTGGTAGACAGTTTCGTAATAAATGGCCTTTGAGTACCAAGAGCAGCACGAGCTTAGCGCTGTGATAGAGTCCATAAAGCGGGAAACAAGTCCAAAACGTCAGGACCATCCAATAGTCTCGCCAGTTGAACACAATTCGACGCACATCCCAGTTCAGGCACTGCTGGGCCGCAAACGAGTTTGCTGGAAAGTGAACCGAATACCACGCAAACCATCCGTTGAGTGGATTCAGGATGGCTTTGACTGGGGCGCCATCAGAACAAGAACGCTCGTCGGACTCGACCACGTCGTGGTAGCCCTTGGCTTCCCAACACCCGAGACCAACTTGCTTAGCCGAAAACGCCAGTCGCACCAGACAATTTGGGCTACTATTGTACCCATATATCCGAGGAAAAAATGCAAGTGATGCCATGCTCGTGGCCCAGAGGTTACCAGTGTCCCGTTTCGGCGTCTTCCATTTCAAACACGACGAACGCTTGATGGGACAACACTGCATGCCGAGGCAACGGCGTCGTGTACTTGTCCGCGCCATATTGCACCATGGACTTCAGCGTTGACTTACTTAAGATAGGCGGCGCGCGAAGCGACGAAAACGCAATGTCTCGTAGCCGAAGGCCTGCCGGATATGTCTCACTGGTCACGCAATATGCCATGGCGACTACTACCTGCGCGTCCTTGGAGGATCGGATGTCTGCCAATGTGATACTGTACGATGCCGTGTTCCCATGCACAACCTCCACACGCCATGCACCGTCCAAGGCAAAGTCGAAGCGACTGGGTCGAATGGCCAACACATGCCACGTCAGCGCTTTGGTTTGGCCACGAGGCAGCAGCGACGATGATGACGACTTGCGAGCTTTGGCCGAGCGTCGCATCTGCAGCAGCATGTTCATCTTCTTTTTGAATGTGCTTTTGGACGTAACGGTCGCTCTATATCGTCGGGGCCTTCGGCTGTGCCACTCACCTGCTCCCATCGTTGTCGTGTCGTGAGATCTCAAAACTTGTTGCCCATGTCACTATTTTCATTCAAATTATAGATGAACCAACGTTAATTCGAGAAATAAATGATCGTCTCGAACCGGCTTTGTACACTTTTCTATGGTGTACTTGGAATGCAGCATTCGACCGCGATATCCCTTTTGAAATATGCTGCATGAAGCCGAAAGGTTGGACATTTTACAGTTAGTACTGGTATTATTATAGTATAGAATCGGCTTAAATAGAGTTCATCTTAGCATTCATTAACCAGAAAAAGCAAGGTGAAATAGTCAATTTTGTATGGAGGGCAAGGTGAACCACCTTGCGAATTCCATAAATAATTCTGAAATTGTATAGTTTAAATTAAATATATCTTCAAGTTTGTATTGATGATTTTTATTTTTCATGTGTCAATCTCTTTTTGGAATTCGCAAGCGCAGTTCACCTTGCGAATTCAAAATTGTCTAATTTTGTCCAATCAGATGCGGTGAAATCACGAAAATCCCTGCGTAGATTCATCACGCCCTGTTGCGACATATTCCTGTGATGGAGGTTGATGCAAGGAGCCTTGAGATAATTGTGTAGGCTGTGTATGAGAGCAAGATCATGTGATGTGGTATTCAGGACTCAGTCAATTCTAACAGGTCTCATTTGACCACTTGCCTACCCAATGAAATTGGTCATCCCTCATTCCACCATCCAACCCGTGTCGGTGCCGCACACCTCCCTGCCGGTGTGATCACGTGGTTGCGCGGGCGGTGGCGCAAGACGTCTTGGTGACACCCATCGCAAGTGCTGAAGTGGCGGCTTTAGCACTTTGCGTTTGCGATGGGTGCTACCAAGACCTCTTGCGCCACCGCGTTGGCCCACCAGAGCCACCACGACATTGCGACCCAACCGAGCGCACAACACAATGATAGCTGTAAGGGGAGAACCACATTGAACATAGTCGGAGTGCACTCATCAGTGCACAAGTCTCTGGAGCATCACACAAAGCTCTACTCCAGAGTACAAAATTCAAAGTTCAAAATTGGAACCTCTTCTGTCAGTGTTATAGCCAATCGTGTGTAAGAAACAAGGTGTGATGGACTCTGATTGGATATTAAAAAGGAGCAAGGTGGCTTACCTTGCGAATTCCATTAACAAGTCATTTACTGTGATTTCCACTCACAGAATCTAGGCAAAAAAAATAGGAGATTTCATTTATCTAGCGATTCGATTGGCTATAAATAGACTTCAACTTAGCGTTCATTTACTTCGATTTCCACTCACAGAATCTAGGCAAAAAAGATAGATTTCATTTATCTAGTGATTCGATTGGCTATTTCTTCATTCCAGTGAACTCCATTGGCGCTTCCGTGCACCATAAAAACTTATGACTATGTCTCAATCACTACCTACTGTATCATGATGCCACGTATCCAGCCATAAGCTTGCTGTGAATTTATTGATACAAGTGGGTGAAATCTTGCCCGTCGACGTGGCCATGTTCAGCCAGCGACTTGAAATTCTTCAAACACGAGTCAAACGCGCTACCGAGGAAGGGTGCGAGGGCGCCACGCCACAAGAGGGCAGCGCCGCCGTGGACGCGAACGCCCATCTTCATGTCCACGTATCCATCCGTAGGATGTTCGCTCCACGTCCAGTACCATTCCGAATCTACCCCTGGTAGTCGCGTGTAGTACTCGAAATGACGCGCCTCGTCGACGTTCTGGATGGCAAACGCATGTTCACCGCCGCCATAGTTCTTCATGAACAGAGTGCCCTTGGTGCTATTCAGGGGCGTGGACGCCGGTGTGTCCAGAGTGACTTTCTTCAGGTCGACATCCCACACGGGCCAATGTTCGACTCGCTTGAGGACGTTGAACACTTGCGCTACGTGCATATACAGTGTTAGACAGTGACGAGGACGCGACATAACGCACCACTCGTCGCGTGGATTCGCGTGGTCTTGAAGGAGTCGAAGGACGTGAAGAACGACATGTGGTCAACTTGGATAATGAACACAGGCGGAAGGTGCCGTAGGCCTTCACTGACCTTCGTCCAACTTTCGAAGATTGAAATAGATAGACCATCACTCCAATTACATGCATTCCAAAATGACGTGGCGGGCCAATAAGAACACACACATATCCGAGTTCAACATTTCTTGACCTTACAATTTTGTTTATTTCTCCTATATTAGTATATACATGCCGTAGTTATTCTACCAATCTCCAAGAGACTCAACCATGTGAAACCCATCACGTCTCTCATGACTTGTGTAAGGAACACTGTGATTGCATGATACTGTATTAATACAGCCTAGAGTTACTGTTCACGTTCGACTATGACTGAATACAGTATACATGCAACGTTATCAATGGTTCGTACAATCTACGTGTGAAAACGAATGGCGATGGAAGCTAGCTACCAAAACTTCCACAGTCGTTGGCCTCGCTCCGCCGGTACGTTCCACATGAATACATTGCTGCCCCACTTGATGCTTCCTATAGTTCCACGTTAATCTAGTCAACATCCAGTACCACACGAACAACGCATATGTACCGTTGGCGGGGGGACACCCGCCGTGCAAACTCCGATAGTCATTCTCCCCGGACGGGTGCTTGGAGTAGAACAACACGCCTCCCCCTTCTTGGGGACGCACAGCTAGTCCACGCGAGCACTCGGGCATGCCGGCCCTGGTTGTCACGTTGCCGGGCGGGGTTGGATGCAGCGGAAACACCGTTTCACCGCCTTCGTCGACATTGTTTAAATATAGAAACAACGTCGCATGGCGATTGGGCTCAATGTACTTGGCCAGCAGCGGCAACCTACAACCATCCATTCTAAGTAGCTCCCACGTCTTGCCTCTGCGTACCGGAAGGTTGCGTCAGGAACCCCCACGACCTCTTCCCATCGTTGTCGAATGTAACACAGCGGCACGACGGGGTTGACTGGTCGAAACGCCGAGATCATGGACGACACAATGTAGTCCGACTTGAGCGCGACGTGCTCTTGCATCCACACTTTCCACGCTGGTCCAAGGTACTTCCACATAGCGTCATTGACTATGGAATGCGGTTGCAACAAGAGTGTGGCCAGCTGCAACTCGAAAGCGGCACTGTGGCGGGGGTACAGGGGGTGGTGTGGGCTGATCACGTTCAATCGCTGCACCCACGTGATCCAATGGGAAAACGATTTCAGGGCGGGGGGGTTCACCTCGGCACCGACGTCCAAGTGCGTGAAGTAGTCTGTGTGCACCTTGTACATTTGCCCGTCCTCGTACCGCACCAATTGAATGTCTTCAATGAACTCGCGCGAGGGGAGTCGAGCCAAGCTCGCGCCACGGGTCTTGACCTCTTGGCTGAACGGCAAGTGGCTAATCATAAGAGTATACATGTGGGTATTATATAAACAACGGAGCTAAAAATCAGGGGGGACGGCGATCTACCCCATGAATGCGGTGGAACTCGTGCGATAACGGTCCAACCCTTTCAAATTAAACTGGGAGACTGACGGCGACGGTTGCAACATGTCTTTGCCCAGGTCAATCACATGCTGACATTCTTCGGGGGAAAGGAACTTGGACACGAAGATCGCCTGTGTGATGTCCAATTCAGTTGGAATCGGCCTACATTGTATGAATAGATAGATAGGTCTCACCTTGGGCGACAACGACAGCGTTTTCAATCGCACACCATCCACCATCCATTCATGGCCCACTTCAATGCCTGGCCACACCCACACTTCTTGGTCTAGAAGCACATGCACACGAGTCGCGACTGTGTCCCATGAATGCCGAGGAAGCATCCGACCCATCTGGTCGTACAAGGTGGCTTGGTCGACATCCACCCCGCGTTTGCCAAAGGCTTTGGCACCAAACGACGCCAACGCCTGCGCACACATGGACAGATCAACGTCTTTTTTTTTGTTGAGGTCGTCTTCGTGCCATGATACCCATAATCCTTGGTTCTCTCCATTCAGCATGACAAATGCAGAGTTGGTTTCGACTTGGTCGGCGTCTTGCACAGGAATGAACCCGCCATTTGCCGCACCAGAGGCTGTGAACTTGAGTGGACACGAGTTTGGGGTCACTGGTAGGGGTGGCGTGTCCAAGTAGGCTTCGCCGAAAGGATAGTACTCGACCACACTCCAGGCGTAAACACGATAGAGGCAGTAGGCCGACGCTACGGAGGCTGCATGCTGCGCAAGGGAGGAGCCGGCCAGTACCCCGCGAGCCTTGACTGCTTGCTTATTGGCGTGTTTCTGCATAGCCAATCGAGCAATGTACTACGAGTAAGGCACTATGTAACCCTCGTCGAACAACATGTCGTGTACACCTAATCTTCGACATTCGTGAGCGATAGACACGGTCAACCGGTAAAACGAGCCAATCAGCGCGGTCTTACTGTATCGTTCCACCAATGGGATCGTTCGAAAGATCGACAGAAGGCTTGAAGCGACATCATGACAGAGGGAGGAGGTCCAGCCATTGGAAGTGCTGCATATCGGCAGTTGGATGGCCTGCACTTTGAATGTACTGTGGTGGACATCACGTACGACCACGAGCACAAACCAGTGATGTGGACCGTTCAATATGCAGACGACGACAACACCGAGAGTGTGACAGACGTGAGTGAACTGAATTTTGACGTCCAGGCCGTTGTCGACATGCGAAAGCACCGCCAGTTGTTTCTGGATCAATTTGCCAGTTTCTTGCCGTATTTGACGCCATGGGAACGACTGACAAAGTGCTGTGTGCTTTCTAAATCGTGCCAGCGAGCCACGATGCAGGCCACGCTGTGGCAACACGTCGACTTGTCCTTCTGGCCCTCGACTACTCCAGTGGGCCGCTATGTAAACACCGTGTTGAATCGACTGGTATACCACGACGTACTGGACAAAACACCTGTCAAGTCCATCGTGGACACGCTCGTGTTGGACGGATTGCCAGTCACCGACCAAGATTTGTGGGGCCTGATGCGGCAGACGCCACTGTTAACATCCCTCAGTCTCGTGGGCTGTCCATACATTTCGTTTCACTTATTCCCCATGTGCCAAAACCTTCAAACAACACTGGCTTTGGAAACCGTGGACCTGTACCTCACGTTCGTGCAGCACGCGAGTGTTATGGACGTCCGCAACAAATTCCACCGTGTGGTATCGTTCACAAGTTCTGGCCTTCAGTCGCTTTCTCCAGACATATCGAGCCACCTGCTTGCACAGTACACGGTGGCAACGTGGTCTAACGATCGAATTCTCTTCGTCGACAAGGACCGCCTTGTCCTCGACCATCCAAATGCGTGTTCGGACGAGCTATACGCGTGGCCATTCAGCCTCGTGCCCGTATTTCAAGGCGATGTGAGCCCCACCATCACCCCAAAATCCAACCCCCTGTCGTCGTCAACTGCCTTTATGTTCCGATCGTTGGCTGATGCTGGGCGCTTCCTCGACGACTTGCGAGTTCCTGAATCTCTAGCAACCCTCGTCCACCGAATGAAGTCATCCCAATCCACAACACCCCGCACTCGATCGAAACCAGTCGACCCGTTAGACGAACACGCAAAGCAAGTGTTTGCATCTTTGTATGCATGGAAAACCTCGTTACAAGCACAAGTGGACGACTTGTCCGTCGCCGTGGCCAAGGCCAAGGAGGAGCATCATGTGGCGCTGACCGACTACAACCGCGCCGAGCTGCAGCGGCGCCACGTGGAAAAAGCCGCGAATCGGGCGGTGCTGGCTCTCTCCATGGGACAAGCCAGCGGTATAGCTATTTTAGGATGTCAAGTGTAGATATACTGGTTGACCAACGCTCGTGCTGTTGTAGTGTCCCCACCACCTTCGGGTGTGATTGTCAACAGACCGGGCGATTTGGACTTGCCCCCACTGCCATCCCCCGACGCCATTGTCGCCCTTGCCACGACGTTGGCCTTGAACCAGTTTGCCGTTTGCGATGCTTTCTTGGGGGAGGCCATGGCGATCGCCCTGTACGAAACCCTGGACAACCTGCACACGTACGGCGGCGGCCCCTTGTCGTTTGAGCGGGGGGTGCTGGCGGGCGGGAAAACTGGCCGAAACTTGCGGTACGAGAAGCCATCAGTGCGGGGGGACGACGTGGTGTGGCTCGACGGGTCCGAAGCCGGCTGTCCCGGAATTGTCAAGCAGACGCTGCGTCAGCTCGATCGGTTGGTCATGGAGAGATTGGCAAACGATGAATTGGCAGAGTAAGTACACCGTGTCAGCCTTTGGCGGGTTCCATGCCGTAATACCTCATGCGAGGTTAATGACATGTAGATGCACATTAATTCGAAACAAAGCCATGCTGACGTGCTATCCTGGCCGAGGGGCGTCGTATGTCAAGCATTGCGACAACCCTAACGGCAACGGGCGAAAGGTAGGACGACAAGCAACTCAAAAGCCATCACAGCGTTCGTAGGTGACAGCCATCTTGTATTTGAACCCGGCGTGGGTGCCTGCCCACGGCGGGGAGCTGGTCATTCACCACGCCCACGACACGCAGCACGTGGTGGCCCCTGTCTTGGATCGGTTGCTGCTGTTTTTTTCCGACGCTCGAAACCCCCATGAAGTGCGACCGACATCGGCCAAACGGTAGGATTTGTCGTTTATACTACGAGTTCAAGGCGTGCTTAGTATTCATTCGGAGGCTTTCATGTTGGAACGTAGGTACGCTATGACAGTGTGGTACATGGATTGGGACGAATACACGACCACTCAAGTGTTTGCCGACGACGACCACAACGAACGGACGAAAATCGAATGCGAAATCGAAAAATTCGACGCCGTCGCGTCCACATAGCGTTCTGAAATGCCCCAATAGCCAAACACAAAACGTGGAAGCGCAACGTGCGATGAATACTATGAATGGGTTCACTAGACTAGTTGTGGTTGGTATTCATAGCAACTTAGTATCTATACTGCTGTATTAATACAGAGTGGTGGGCAACTATTCTGGATCGATCTCGTCTTGTACGATTTGGCGGGCGCCATCGATTTCCATCTTGAGGTTCTTCAAAATATAGTCCACCTGAAGGATAATACACAAATCACAACACATCAAACTGCAATATGCATTGTCGGCAAGCCAATACCTCGGCGTCGCGGTTCAGTTTTTGGCCAAACAGCATCACTTTAATCGCCACGGCCAGCTTAAGTGCCCCACTCTTTGTGGATGTTTGCACCCGTCGCAGCACGTGGAGCTGTTCTTCTCGTCGCCGTCGGGACGCCGCGCGTTTGGTTGCTGCGTCGATCGCCGCTTCGTCTTGCTTTTGCGCGAGCCAGTCTCGGGCCTGTGACAGCGTCGGGTCACTTTGACCAACGAAAACACGAGGTACCTTGTGGACGTCGTTGTGGTTCATCATGAGTGCTTTTTGAATCAAATGCTTGTCAAATCCCTGCAAACGAGCGATATCATTTGCCATGGAAATGGTGAATCATCTTGTCCTTCAGTATATAATACATATATATATATAGACTACATTTTCGGTAGTAGATCCTACCTCCATCAAGAGTTCGACGGTTTCGGGGGACGCATGTTCGCAATCCTTTTGCAGCCGACGTTCGTGCATTCGATGCTTTACACCTTGAATTAACTTCGACCCCTGCTTCACTCCAGCGCGGTAGCTCTTGGCCGCTAATGAGTTTCCCCAACATCATGAGATGCCCCAAAAAACGTCACTTTGCAGTATGTGATATGGTCAAATCGATTCGAAACTGGAGCCTTTAACAAGAATCGAATGTCTTCAGAATAATAGAGACGATTATTACTATTAACTGCCGGAAGAATTAAATTACTACAAAATAAATAAAATCACCCTTTTGGTCTAGTGGTGGTGAAGGAATAACTCGTGGTGGTAAAACCATTTGGAAGGTTAAAAATATAATTGATTAATTGTAAATTGAAAAATTGAATACATTATATTGTTAGGGATTATAGATTTTAGTGGTTAATTTTAAGCATAAAAATGAGATGGATTGGTTGTTAGTTGTATCATTTTAAAATTTAGGCTGGAATGTAACCAATAAGCGAGATGTCCTATCTTTTCAAAAACATAATTTAAAAAACTACTCATTGTTTATATAATTGCCCTTTTTTATGAGTTAAAAAGAGAACGGATTAAAGAACCGCCTAAGCCAATCAAATAACGTTCTGGTAAATATCTGCCAATTCAATTGTTTGATTCGGCCCAGTCCCTCCGAATTGGCCAAAACCTCATATCTACTCATTTTTGTATCGCATAGTTTGCACAAGATTTAATTAGATAATAAAGTCCAAATTTGGGTGAAATGCACAATACAGGTAAGGGGATTATATGACGGGTGGTTGGTGTACCGATTCGTTTGGCCTGTCGCCTTGTGCGCAGCGCCAGTTTCAACCCGTCGTGCTTGACAGACTTGATCTGCTTTTGGCTGTATTCCGACCCATACCACGCGTAAAATTCGTTGAAATCTATCCAAGTACAAAACTCATCATTACCTTTTTTATGCATTTAATAGCAGGTCGATTTTGTTCAATTTTTCAATTTTCCATGGTGTTCAATCGAGCACAAGTAGAGCCGAGACATCTGATTGGCTAATATCCACTTCACCCTTCCGGTAGAAATCCAAATTGATATTGTAGCCAATCAGCAACAAGTCATTTCGGATAATTGACCAATGGGAAAGCTATTTGGTGCCCGGTTCCGTCGGCGAGATTCGATTCAACGGGGTCCGGAAATTCATACCGAATCAATCTCCAATATATATATATATAGATCGTACGTACTGATGGTGCCTGTGCCATCTTGATCAATAGAAGTCATGACTTGAATCACTTGATCCATGGTCATAGGTTCGCACAACGACTCATTCAGCAGCGTAAACAATTCGTGGACATCCACCTCCCCCGATCTACACAATCACCACCCCCATGATCATCATCTCATCATAACATGGAGGCGTACGAGGAATTCACATGAGATGTCTATATATATAAATATATATTTATGTATATATATATAAATATATATTTATGTATATATATATATACCCGTCGACGTCGACTTCTGTAAACGCTTCCAAGGCCAGCGCGTACAACACATCTTCTTTTCTTGGATCCACCAAGTGCGTGTCGTGGGTCTCCATGTTTAAAAATACATATTTGTTCAAGTCGACATCCCATTTTTGCTCAAACAGCGTCGCCTGGTGCTCGAATGTTGTGCCGTCGTAGAGGTACTCGTACCCCAAGGCACCAGCATTCCACCGGGGTACAAACACATCAGCAAAGACTGTCATTTGCTTGTCCAAGTCGATCTCGTGCATGTCTTCAAAGATCCACTCCAACGCAAACTCTACGAAGTTGTATGGTTCCATGGATATGTATGTACAGAACGATCATATTCTGGGGGGGGGTTAGGGGGGTTAGAGGGAAGTTAAGGGGGGGATTGGGGGGAGTTAGGGGAAAGTTAAGCGGGGTGATGGTATTTATACCGTGCTGAAGAAACCGGTAGAACACGTGCTTTTTGCGCTGAAAATCGTCCACGGGGTGCAGCTGGAACACGTCGTCGTAGGGCGGCACGCGTTTCTTGCGTGGGACGACCTTGGGCCATCGATCCCGGAGCTTTCGCTTGACATCGCGGATATGCTGTTGGGTCTTGCGGTATCCCTTGTGCACATGGAGGGCTTTTGTCCGCACAGCTCGAAAGGTGCCTGGTGGTAACGTCATGTGGATTGAGTGCCAGGGGAAACTCGTAGGGGGGAGAATTATGTGGGGGGATTGATACCTCGAAACGCGCCGTCCACGATCTGAATAGCCAGCCAGCGTAGAATTTCATTCCATCCTTCGACCACCATCGATGAGACATTAAAAGCGATCGAATTTTTTTTAATACCAAGGTGGCCGTCGTGGTTGAGATCGATGCTGGCAACGATGTCGCAGATTTCGTTCTTGGTCACTGGAATGCACAGCTCGTGGGTCAGCAGCATCCGCAGCTCCCCCACGCCCACGTAGCCTTGGTGGTGAGGGTCGTAAAGTTTGAACGCGTCGAGCACGGGCTTCTCCAGCGTGCGGCAAATCGCTTGGATGTGACTCTCCCGCTCTGCGGCGTCTCGCTGGACCTTGTCGGCGGCGGCCGCGGCGGCATCCACGCTGCTTTTCGATGGCCAACCATGCTGACTAATCACGACTTGGGCGACGTCGCTGCAGAGAAGTTGGGACAAGTATGCTGGCTTCTTTTTGAGCTTAAGACGGTGCTTGGGGTCTTGTTGTAGACGAATCGGCCGTCGAAATCGATGGTTATGGAGCCCCGACCGCATCGAATGCACTTTTTCAAAGCACAACAAACACAACCCCATCTTGCAAGCCTACAAAAAGTATATAATCAATATACACTGGGTTTGCATGTATCCAAAGCACAGTGTGCTCCATATGTATAGAGAGAGAGGTGTCCAGTAAGATGTCACTTTGCTGGCGCACTACCTCGCAAACGCGGGCAGTGGCGCGCACGTGACACCGTCGACACATGCACAAGTTGAGATGCATGGCTTGGAACTCCATCGTCACGGCCCGATGATTTGCGCGGGCGCCTTGCTTGTGGAACGCGGCAAAGCAGTCGTCGCAGTACGGCTCGTCGCAGTCGATGCATTTGGTCACTCCGATTTTGACTTCGCAGGTCATGCACAGGGGAGCGTTGGGGTATAATGTCGGCGTGGCCAATCGTTCGTCTCTGTAAGTTGTTGTTGGCAGCAGTTCTTTAGTTGGTTGAATATAGATAGATTGTCATAGAGACAGCAAATATATATATATATATATATATACGACGCTAGGGTTTGATTTGCTTTGTCAAGTTCACATCTATATTCGTTACCTGGCATGAGCATACTGCACCCGTCGAAAGAAATGCCGAACGACGCGTTGGATCAGCTGAATGGGCTGGCGAAGTACGACCATCCTCGCTTTGGCCGTCATCCACGCTGCATGTTGAGCCATCCGGCGTCGATACCACCGCTGCAACTTTGTCGCATTTTTGTACCGTCTGCGGCGGCATTGCCGTACGAACCTGTCCATGATCTAGTTAGTTGGTTCTTTGTTGATATACATATCAACAACGTATATATATATATATATATCAATGAAGTATATATATATATATCAACGAAGTATATATATGTACTGTATATATATATCATCACTTGGTCACGTACCACCATACAATTGTAGTCGCGGCGTTCCGGTGGCGGTACTGTGTGGCGTAGTAGATCCGCAGACGTACCAGTGTTCGTCGCATAATCGCTTGCAAATCCACTGCTGTGGCGTGATTGCCTCGTTGAAACAATCCGTCGACAAACACCAGCAAAGTCTCGGCGGTCATCGATGAAAGTGCAAACTGCATGTCGATCTTTGTAAACCGTCGGGATATGCGACGTGGGGGGTCGCGGCTGGTCTCATTTTCTGGTCCCCGTCCTTGCCAAAACACGGAAATGGATGGCAGCCGACGCTTCAAGTGCAACCGACTCGCGAGGCTGACCCTACATTGTCCCACGAATCAGAGTGTGAATGTTTTGCCATCATAATGTTGTGTTCTGAGTCGACTGTGACTGTATCGCACATGGTGACGGGGTCCATTTGAGTAGCATCGCAAAACCCAAACGACGTGTGCCGCTTGAGGTGGAAATGTGTGGCCACAGTACAAAAGGCCTTTCGAAACTGCAGCGACGGGGGCTCCCACGGCAAGTACGCGTATAAGATGACCCATTGCTGGGTTGTGAGCAAAGATGCGATGTTGTCGATCGAACATTCGGGGGAGTCGACTCCTCGCTCAATGCGCTTGGCCATCTACAAACCAGTAAATTTAACGGTATAACAGCAATACATGGTTCAAATAGGTCACTTCCGTGACATTTCAATACACAATCGAGTCTAGCAAGCAAGAAACAACGACAATATATCGCGGATGATACAATTGAATGAGCAGCACCAAATTGGCTGACAATCGATTGACCAATCAAAACCCAGAACACGAATCAAGCAGCCAATCAAATACTCTCTTCGACCAATTCAACATCGAATCAGTGTGTGACTGAAATTAGTGTGACCTCGGAAGATATTTACATACAAAAGTCAGTACAACGAATCGATAGATCTTTGGCGAATCAGCACAACAGTCCCAGTTTTGGGCAATGGACAATATAGATACGTTTTTCACCTTCTTGGCCCTTGTTCCCTTTTTATTTTGTTTCGTACCTTGTACTCGTGCAACGCCTTGGCCTTGGCGAACCGCCGCCGCCCCTTGATTCCTCGCCACGTAGCTTGGATTAAGAGTGCACTAGCAATGCGTCGTTTGCCGGCAGTCGCACTCCACAGCTCGAACCATTCGGCAAATGCCTTGCGTTTGAACGTGCGCGAGAACAGACGCTGCGATTTCATGTGTAGCACATGGTAGTCCCGAGCGTGGTCGGTCGCTTCCAGCCATTGAACCAGTCCCCGCGTCAATTTGCACTTGGTTGCAAACGCGTCCAGTCGTTGGCGCTGTAGAGCTTTCGCACGCAAGATGGCCTTTAGAGTCTTCCATCGCGCAAACATGTGACGGAGTCGAAATACGCGACAGAGTTCGTGTTGATCCCGGCGGAACTTCACCAGACTCACCCACTCCGCCCACGTCCGAACGCCATATCGAGCCCCCATTCGTATATATCGCTGGTTCACTAATATAATAACCACGTCACACATTGAGTTGTTCATGCTCGAATGGACGGCAATGTGAATGTCGTACCGAGCTGGTTGCGGCGAGTAAACGCATGCAAGGCCGTCAAGTGAGATTGTACAAGCATGTGACATCGTTGTCTTGTGGCCATGTTGTGATGCAGATGGTTCAAAATGTGAAGTTGCTTCCATTGATTCACAAGATCCACCTTGATCCGACCATGCACTTTGGCTTGCAATCGTTTCAGTCGTCGCATGAGGCTGGCGTGTCGAGCCCACCGCTGGTACACGTCCACCAAGATGGAAAGTTTCCACACCACGTCACATATCACTTCCACCACGGTGCCCCGTCGCCATTGCTACCACCAAAAATGATATTTCAAATCACAATTTCGAATCGTTTCCGCTCATGGATCAACACATCATATCATTTCATTCATGATCGTTCAAGTAAATACAAGGATAAAAAACACGACATGACATACCTTGGTCGCCCTAGCTTGAATGTGCCGGTTGGAAAATTGAGTAGCCAGCAAGGCCCGCCGCGCGCGATCCCGCTGCACGCGCACACATTCGCCCCAGTGACGCAACAGTCGTCGTCGGTGGGTCTTTTCAAAATGCCATTGCGCTATCTGACGTTGGCGAGCACCACGTCGTAGCGTCTTGAGCTGTGACAGGGCGTGCGCCATGCCTTTCCACGCGAGCATCGTCGACGCGAGCGTAGCGTGCCGATGTCGCCTCCAACGCCCCTACTCGTCAGATCACACCTCTAACATGGCCACGAATAAAAAAATATATCAAAATCCTACGCGAACACGACGAGCTTTGAGCCGCCGAAGGTACGCGTGCACTGGTCGATTGAGCAACTGCCGCAGATCCCCGCATGCTTGTTGGCGCACTTGAAACTTTTGTCGGACGGCGTACCCTCGATACAAGCGCTGGATGTCGGTGGCGCACCCATCCCGCCATCGCTGGACTTTGGTCCTCCATACGACCAGACATTTGATGCGGTCGGTGCTCGCCAGCGGCTCCCACTCGAGAGGCTCCTTATCGCAGCGGGGCAGTTGCTTGTCCAGTTCATACCACACGCGATACTGCATGGGAAAGCCATGCATCCGAGAAAGCGTCCCGCGGATTCGGGCTTGAATGGCTGTGGCGCCGCGTCGTCGCTTCGCCTCGGCCAGCTTGGCGCAATGATACACGACTTTTCGAGCCAACTGCTTGGCTACCACCACCAATGTATGCACTAGTCGCGCCATGACATCCACCAACACCGCACGTCGGTACCGCCGCCACGACCGCTACAGTAGTGATTTTGCGTTATACAATTGAGATTACCTCACAAAGTGGATTTCAAAGTCAACTTTCGACCAACTAGGCCCCACGCATATTTGTCTTTTGACGTATAGCCAGTATGCCCTTACATCGCCCCCGACGAACCAGACACCCCCTCATTTAACGTCGTACGTACTTGGATCTGGATCCGAGGAAAACACTGCCGCCGACGAGCCATACATTGCACGCCCGCGCGCACTTGTTGTCGTATCAAATGATGGCGGATAGATCGTTGGATGGCCATAATCGCACACACATACGTCGTACTTCGATCGACTGCGATCTCCGTCTGGGCGTTGGAATAGGTGACGGCGGCGGCACGCACCCCCTTCCGGCGGTCGTGACCTCGTCGTCTGCCCCGCCATCCCCGCCACACGCGTTGAATATCACTTGTTCGATCTTGCTTGACTTGGCGTGAATGCAATTGGACGACCACAAACCGACGGAACGCGCGTTGTATGGTCCGCGCACTGGTTTGCGTCAACTTGGCATGGGCCAAATGGCTGGCACGTCTTCGCCCCAGCACCCCTCGTGTGTGGCTACATGGGAGCAAAAAGTGTTATTGTAGCTAAACATATAGCTGGATGCCATCTATGGAGAGTAAAAATCGAGCGCTAAATCGAGTAAAAACAACAGTATGTAGCCACATGGTGTGGAGTGTGTTGTGTTACCGTTGAATGACCACGGCGGCGTAATGTCGTGTGAGTCGAATGTGTCGGGCGTGGACGTGGGAGACGGCATGTCGCGCAACCTTTTGCCGCCATGCGCACTGAATGTACAGTGCCATGTTCACATGTAGCTGGTGGGTGCGATGTTGGGCTTCGTGCTGCCACGTACGCAGTCGCAATCGTATCAGACGATATAACCTGTCTTGGGCAATGTGGAGGCATCGTGCCAGTCCTATGAGAGAACATCATGACACCTACCTCACTCCGAATGGGATTACGATGACACTGCTACTGCTATGTTGCCTAAGTACCTGCTTGTCGATCTAGAAGTCGACGTTTGGCGTTGTGATCGAGTTTTCGAGCGTGTAGTGTCCATGCCTACTCGTCGTTGTCATGATGGTTAGGATTTTAACTAAGTTCAACTGCCACTGCCACAATTGCCGACTTCGGAGGACGTTACCTGCCATTGCTGCAACGCTCTGCGTTGGGCCAACGTCCAATTCGCCACCAAGATGCGCCACACAGTTTCCGACGCGATTTTCACTGCAAATTCTCGGTGGTTGGACTCCTTGAGGAATTGAATCGGCAAGTTCTTGCCCACTCGATGCATCGTGTCCTAGAATGTGATATACATTCATGCGGTTGAACCAACGAATGGACACAGACGTGCTGCCACGTCATAGAAGTATATACCTGTATATGCGACTCTTGTTGCTGCAACGCGACTTGCAATGCAGTCGAGTTGTCCAATGGCCTCAGGAGGCGTAGATTTCTCGACACGTTATCATTGCATTTCAAGACCGACTTGAGCGGGATCCCATAGACTTTTCGCTTGCTTTGCAACGAGTGTTTGACTGGAGGATCTATCGATGGCTGCTTTGAACTTGAGTGAAATGGCAGTGTCGCCATGTGGTTGACCCTCCGTGGCACCGCCGTCTCCATCCCTGGCCCGACAGATTTCGTGGGTAGCATTCGAAGCATGCGGATTTTGCTTCCTGGAGCTTGCATGGCCTTCTGTGGGACCATATCCTACAACATCATTCATGTTGTGACAGTAATGGCAGTAAGCAAACCTCTCGAGGCATGTCACCAAGACTGGAGCCTAAGAATGCGATCAATATTTGTCCTTGAGATTGGGAACGAGCGTACTTTTCAACAAGGGCGGCGGCACGGAGCTCTTGTCTGCATGGCGGATGTCATCGTAGAAGAGACTATTGTTGTGTGAATACATGGACGACACTCCAACGAGCTAGCTCATGCAATGCTGGGCGGTCCCAATTTGCATTCGCGACGTTTGGGTTGTTGTAACGTAACATGTTTATCCGGAGTGGTACTACTAGTAGTAGTGTGCATTTCACCCAAATTTGGACTTGTGATTCATTTCGCCAATTAGCATTAACCAGAAAAAGCAAGGTGAAATAGTCAATTTTGTATGGAGGGCAAGGTGAACCATCTTGCGAATTCCATAAATAATTCTGAAATTGTATAGTTTCAATTAAATATATCTTCAAGTTTGTATTGATGATTTATATTTTTCATGTCTCTTTTTGGAATTCGCAAGGCAGGTCACCTTGCGAATTCAAAATTGTCCAATCAGATGCGGTGAAATCACGAAAATCGCTGCATACATTCATCACACCCTGTTGCGATATTCCTGTGATGGCGGTTGATGCAAGGAGCCTTGAGATAATTGTAGGCTGTATATGAGAGCAAGATCATGTGATGTGGTATTCAGGACTCAGTCAATTCTAACAGGTCGCATTTCACCACTTGCCTACTAACCCAATGAATGTGGTCATCCCACATTCAAACCATCCAGCCCGTGTCGGTGCCGTACACCACCGGCAGGGAGGTCCCTGCCGGTGTGATCACGTGGTTGCGCGGGCGGTGGCGCAATATGTCTTGGTGGCACCCATCGCAAGTGCTGAAGTGGCGGCTTTAGCACTTTGCGTTTGCGATGGGTGCTACCAAGACCTCTTGCGCCACCGCGTTGGCCCACCAGGGCCACCACGACATTGCGACCCAACCGAGCGCACAACATAATGTTAGCTGTAAGGGGAGAACCACATTGGATATAGTCGGAGTGCACTCATTTGGTAGTGCACAATTCTCTGGAGCAGCATCACAAAAAGCTCTACAAAATTCAAAGTTCAAAATTGTAACCTCTTCTGCCAGTGTTATAGCCAATCGTGTGTAAGAAACAAGGTGTGATGGACTCTGATTGGATATTAAAAAGGAGCAAGGTGGCTCACCTTGCGAATTCCATTAACAAGTCATTTGAATCCATTTGATCCAATTTAAGCTTGTACAAAAATAAGTTAAAGTTATACAAAAATCAGGTATGCATACGGTCCGTTTGGGCAATCGGGAGGTTAACTTTTTCACCGGCGGAATTTACATGAATCACCCACCTTACTGTAAATTAGTCGACGTATAAATGAGTTGATGCAATGCATAAAACTTCCAGTACAGTAATGTTTCTGTAGTGGCGAGAATTCAGGTTCATCTTTCCCTGTCTTTACCCATTCGAAGGATCACACAAAGAGGTACTACGTAACTACAGTACTAGTACTCACTAGGTAGAGCACTTTTTGTATTGTGAATTTACTTCACGTTTCCGAGACATCTGATTGGCGAATATCCACTTTACCCTTTCCGGCAAAAAATGGAACATGGATTGTTGTCGTTCAGGAACAAGTAATTTTGGATTGACCAATAGGAGTGATTGGATTCGCGGGGTCCAGAAATTAATACCGAATCTCCAATATATGTTCCATTTTTTATCCATGACATAGTTCTATTTAAGCCAATGAAGTGCGTGGAATAATCAATACTGCGGTCAGGAAAACACCATCGTGTCAACTCTCCGTACAATATTTTGCATTATACGCATTATACGACTTGGACATACGATTTGCTATGTGTTATGGCTAAATCATACTCTATCCGTTTAGTACGGGAGAGGTGACCACTTTCAGTTGATTTTGCTCGCAGAATCTATGACAACTGAAAATTGAGCTAGACTCTACTGCTGTAGTATCTCTATCGATATATTTCGCGTATTAATAGTAATACATTCAAATGTATTACTATTAATAATACATCTTCGATACAGGGTACAACAATCGAGGCATCAACTTTTGGGGTTTTCTGCGTACATTGGCATTTCCAAGAAGTTCACCCACTCCAGGGCAATATCAAAGAGGGACGTACCGCTAGTGGTGACATTTTTCTGAAGTGGGAAATTATCCACTGCTTTTGGAATCATACATGTGTCGGCAAGACTTCTCGACCAAGGTCTCAAGGCTGGGACACCCCTTTCAAGATCCGGAATATAATTGTGACGTTTACTTGCGTTTCACGCGTCGAAACTGAAAGCGCGCGTCGTCCAACTGAAGACGTCACTTTTCCATTTACCTCGCCTTGACCTGATGGCTAAAATTCTTGCTCTCCTCACCGTGTTTGCCGCCATGGCCAGCGCGACCGTGAACCAAACCAACGACCGCCAGCTCCAAACCACGGACCCATCGTTTTGCTGGAAGACATCGCAGCCACGCGGCATTGGCCAATTGCCGTCGTCGTGCGCCGCCGGACAAGAGCGCCGAGGTCTGCAGTGCTACGACAAGTGTCCAGTGGGCACGACACGCAATGGCCTCGACTGCCACTCGTACAACCCCGCTGGGATTGCGGCCCAAGGGGCTACACCTACGCTGGCCACGTGCGCTGCCAACGAAGATTTCGATGCAGGCCTGTGCTACCCCAAGTGCAACCCCAACTACACGGGTGTTGGCCCAATGTGCTTGGCCCCCCCTCCTGCCACGTGGGTAGACTGCGGCATGGGTGCCGCCAAAACACCCAGTGATTGCGACACTGCCGTCAAAGGCCAGATCATGTCGGTGGGGCAACTCGCATTGAAGATTGTCGTAGCGTTTGCCGGCAGTTCGCCCATGGCGCTCCGAAGACCGGCGGACGCGTCCAAGTTCGCCGAGTTGACGAAGGCGTGGGATGTCATCAAATACAATCCGTCGGTCAAAAGGGCAATAAAAACCTATGATAATGCCAACCGAGGCAAAGCGGGCTACCAGACCATCGAAGAACTCGAGAAGACCAACTCCACCGCCGAAGACTACGTGAATATGGCAACCTCCATCGCGTCCATAATCGCGTCCATATTCGACCTTATCAGCATCTCGGATGCCTTTGTGGCCTTCAAGTACTCCATTTGCGACAAAGTTGCAGCGTAACCTACAAGCATGGGTACCTTCCTTGCGTTCCGCAGCAGAAGATCACGAGCCCGCGTCAATGCACTACGATTTAGATGCCAAACCTCTAGCATAAAAAGTGACCTAATGTATGTGGGGTGATGGGACCCGTGACACATGTGTTACGTAGCTCTACATTGAGCACATACGAGAACCGGCGTAGCTGCTTGTCGCTAAACGCTTGAATCAACATCGTGCCTTCGATGGCTTCTGAGATCAAGTTGTGCACTTGGGACTTGATCGTTTTGTTCGCCCGCTCCATTTCTCGGGCGGGTTGGACAAAGTACTGTCCAATCGGTACGTAAAATCTACACAAGGGGGGGATGAGAGCAGCGATGCGGAAAAATATATCGTTATTTCTCGATAATATCGTATCGTGCAACAATACTTATTACCGCATTCTATTCGATATCGATATGACATCGAGATACACGTGCGATATTGATATAATATCGAAGTCATTCATTCGATATCGATATATTATCGTGTTTCACATTCGATTTCGATATATATTGCGCATGTTTGTACTACACCCTACGTAGTAGTATACTGTATTACTGTACAACCACGATATATATCCGATATCGATATATATCGAATATCGTACTGGCGTTGCGATATCGATATGACATTGCACCATCGCGTTCGATAAGATATTATATCGAGATAGCTTTTCGATAAGCAATACTTGAAGATATATTATTTCTAAATCTAGGTAGAATACGATGTCAAAATTGATAAAAGAAAAAGATATATCTTCGATAACGATTTCCCAATCGCTGATGAGGAGCCCGGTGCACTGGATCACATACATGGTCATCAGCACCGCAACAGTAATGGTCAAACCCTGATGCAGTTCTCGACTTGTCACGAATGAGCTATGCTGCTACGCGATACCACCTGAAGGAGCGGACATGGACATGCCTCAGCTGACGACACCGCCGCCGCCGACGATCCCTCTGTCTATCCAGCTCATCACGGTTCCCACACACCCAGTCGTGAACAGTTACAGTCTGTTTGCCGCAGAAGTCATCCCCCCAAACACGCTCGATTGATTGCTATGGCGTGATCTAAATGGGCGAGTGGACCTTGAACATACCGGATGCAAGGGGAGAAGGAAATTTGGACATTTATGGCCGCGCCTGTTGTCGGGCCAGAGCTCGGGTCCGACTGGAACGAATGCGTGGGATTGACAGAACGTGACACCTTTAGGGACCGTTCGATGGAGGTATTCCTTTACTCCAAATTGCTACTATTACTAGTACTTGAATTATAAATGTCCATTCTGGGTGACCTTCCTTTCCTTAATTCCGTGACCTAATCCTAGGTTGTTCTACAGTATTAATAACGTTAACGTTACTACAGTATTCATACTTTACTACCACTGTACTGCAGTACAGTACCATGTCGTCAATTCGTAGACGGTGTTCTCTATACATACCAAGACCCTCCGGATAGCATCGTAATATCCGGTAGCCGCTTGACGATCTTGACAGTGTGAGTCCGTTTTTCTAACACCACTTCGTGGCAAGTCGAAATCATCATCACCTCTTCGTGCACTTCGTCATCGACTTGACTTAGAACATCTCATGCTGCGCCCATCTTTGTTCGCCCGGCGTTTCTTGTCGACGTCATCTACCTTCACGCCGCGCAATGCGACGCCTGAGACCGTTGACAAGCTCCGCCAACTCTTGGGCGATCGGCTCTCAACCGCCACATCCGTGCGCGAGGTGTGTGTGTGTCCATCCTCGACTCTGTAACTCTCTCACTAGCTGATCCATAACACACACCACCGCACACGTAGCACCACGGCAAAGACGAATCGTATCACTCTGCACCCCCGCCGGACGCAGTGGCCTTTGTGACCAGTACCGACGAAGTGTCCAAGGTGCTGCAGATCTGCTCCGAGGCCAAGACGCCCGTGATTCCGTTTGGCGCTGGGTCGTCCTTGGAAGGACACATCTCGGCGGTCTGCGGCGGCATTTCCCTCGACCTCACAGGGCTAAACGCGATTTTGAACGTAATAAGTCTCCAAATGTCGGGGTCCGCCCACTAATGTGCTTAGGTCGAGCCCGAAAACATGAGCTGCCGAGTGCAAGCCGGCGTCACGCGCCTGCAGCTCGAGTCGGAATTGCGAGCCACGGGCCTCTTCTTTCCTGTCGATCCCGGCGCCGACGCCACCCTCGGAGGCATGGTTGCCACCAACGCTTCGGGCACCACCACTGTTCGGTAGTTCCACCTGATTCCTTTTTTTCGACATTTCGCATCGTATTGTAGCTACGGCAACATGAAAGCGAACGTTCTTGCCCTCACAGCAGTCCTTGCCAATGGCCAAGTCATTCAAACTGGCTCGAGGTAATAATCCCTGTACACTTAACTCTAACTCGTATCCCGTAAAAATATAAGTAATAATTGAATTATTTGTACTATCTACCCGTAGAGCTCGCAAATCGTCCGCTGGGTATGACCTCACGCGGCTTCTTATCGGTTCAGAGGGCACGTTGGCAGTCGTGACCGAGGTATGAAACGACAATCCCATGATTCGAAATGGAGTTTTGCCCTTTCTAGGGATTGTTATTGCCCATAGAAATAAACGGATAAATACTATTTTTTCTATATGTCGTATACCTGAAAGTGTGTATATAATTTTTATTACGGGCCGTTTCAATGGATGAATATTAATATTCATATATTATATTTTGGTACGAAATTCCTGACCCCGCTCAATCGAATATATATATCACGCCGACCCAACCGATCAGGAATCGCTGCTCCCTTTGGTCATTCTCAAAACATGCTTGTCGCTGATTGGCTACATGATATTTTCTTTTTACTTTATGCTGTTGGTGGAAATATGCCCAAGCAGTTTCAACGGCGAGATGATGTGGGATCGATTTCACGACTCGCGTAGAATATTTGGAAAAATTATTTTTTTGTAGCCAAGATATTCATAATATTCATTTTTCAACTGCACAGGTGGAATTGCGACTTCACGGCGTACCCGAGCTCCAGCGGCTGGCGGTGTGCAGCTTCCCGTCCATCCAGCAGGCTGTGGACACATGCACCGCCATCATGCAGATGGGCATTCCCGTCGCGCGCATGGAGTTTATGGACGAACATACGATGGCCGCGACCAACAAATACTCTAAACTCCACAACGCAGAGCTTCCATCGCTCGTGATCGAGTTGAATGGCACAGCCGACGACATTGAAAACCAAACGTCCATGGTACTTTTTATATTGTCGATATATATTTATTTATTGGCTAAAAAAGTAATGATATATTTGTTCATAGGTCGAAGCATTGACCGAAGAATACGATGTGCAAAAGGTCGAGTGGGCAACGTCCACCGAAGACCGTGCGGAATTGATGAAGGCCCGCCATGCCGCGTGGTATGCCACGTTGGTGCGTAATATATATATATATATCTTTGAATCAGCCGATATACCACTATATATATATATCATATTTTGGAATTGAAAACGGGGATAGAATTTGGTGCCTGGGAGTCGTGGCTTGTCTACCGATGTGTGCGTGCCGTTGTCCAAGCTGACGCAGGTGATTGTCGACACCCAAGCCGACTTGCAATCGTCCAATCTCATTGGCAACATTGTCGGGTATAGTATATATTATGTATTTATTATTATTGTTATTATTTATTATTATTGTAATGATTTATTATTATTTTTAGTATTTATTATTATTGTTGATATTTATTATTATTGTTGATATTTATTATTATTGTTAATATTTATTATTATTGTCGATATTTATTAGTTAATATTTATTATTATTGTAATGATTTATTATAATTGTTTGTGTATTATTATGTGAGTTTCAACCTTTTTGTTTCTTGCTCTGTAAAAATCCAAAACAAATATGATAACTTGTATAGACATGTGGGAGATGGCAACTTTCACGTGATGCTGCCGTTCGTTCCTGCCGACTATCCCCAGATCCAAGCCTTCAGCGACCGCCTGATTGAGCGGGCGCTGGCAGCCGGCGGCACATGCACTGGCGAGCATGGCATTGGTCTGGGGAAGAAAAAGTACTTGGCGCTCGAGCACGGAGGCGCCACGACCGACGTCATGCGGGCCATCAAGGCGGCGTTGGACCCGCATGAGATTCTCAATCCTGGCAAACTGTTCTAAGTGTATGACAACACGATACAGTGTAGAGTAGGAGCACTGTACTACTGTAATGACCAAATAGAGTGTCTGGCTCTGGTACCTCGAGTCGTCGTGCTGATGATATTTACATACATGTAGTGGGGGGGGGGGGTGACGTACCCGTGATTATATTTATTGTGTTCCAAGTATGATAAATATGGCACAAATTTCCGAATTCTATGAGATTCGCAAAACCGATCACAAATCTCGCCGCGATATTTCATTGGCTTTCTCAGCGTGAGGTAAACAGAATAATAATGTAACCAATCAGCGACAAGTATTTTCAGATTGACCAATGGGAGAGATTCGTGATCGGTTTCGTGATATTCGATTGAACAGGGTCCGGAAATTCGTACCAAATCAATAATAAGTTACTTGTGATAAACCTGTCACACCATCTAATGGCTGGACGAGAATCACCCCAATCATTGCCATATACACTAAGTAAGTACTACATAGATATCAATCTCAACGTTATCTCAGGCTTGCGCGAATGCATTTTTGCATTCTTGTGAATCCATATGTACGTACAATGGTGTGTATGTATCGTAAAGGATGTTACTGTCTTACATGCTTATTACTACTACCTGTCATAACCTCCTCGTTTAACGCTAGTCAGCCACCCTGCCTTCCGTCGAGTACTAACTGTGATTAGTGTCGTCGATACTAGGTCGTCTCCAACAACTAGTCTTTTCGTGTGTGGATGATCAGTTAATTCGGCTTAAATAGCGACTTCCACAGCCCTGGTTTGGTGGCTTCGTCTGCGGGACTCGCCATGCTGCCTCGACGTTGGCGCAACGTCGTCACCTTTTCCGTAATGTACAAGGGGCTCGTGGGTGGTTGCAGCGTCGGTTGCTGTTTGTTTGGCTGGTCTTGCGTAATTGGTTGGATGGGCTTGTCGGGGGGTGGCATGGGTTCATCTTCGTGGCCAACGGTATTCTCTGCAGTCGCTGCACCATGGGCATCATCGTTGGCACGTGTAAAATCTGTTTGAATGCGCAGACCGTTCAACGCAGATCGAAAGCTCGTGTTGGCGGCGCTGTCAAATGACTCGGATTGGGAGTCCACTGTGACTGGACAAGGCGAGTCGGCGGCGATGGCGGCAGTGTCACCGTCCGAGTCCCCTCCAAATGCCGACGACGACCCAGAATCGCTAGACCGAATCGACCGCCGAGAGCCGAGCTATACATCAACCAGTGTCGATGAATTACGCAAAGCCATAGTCTCAAACTGGCATCCAATGGGTGTACGTCTATCGATTTTATGCGTATATATTTCGATTATGTTGTCCAAGAAACATATATAAAGCTCATAAAACCACGATTTCGAACGCTAACACACATAGATCCCATAGAACCCATAGAACGTACCAACCAAATGTGTTTCTACCTAAGTAAATTCAGAGTTATTGTGTATTTATTCTAAACTGGAGCGACATGGAGAATGAATCGACACACAACCAAATTAAATGCACACAAGAATCATCGGCAGAAGGGTTTAGCCAATCATATTGCCGGAAACCATTATCATCAACGTCGAATTAGTGTGTGTGTGACTTCAATTAGTGTGATACCAATCACCATTGGACACCCTTTTACATACTAATAGTACAAACTTCAGTACAAAGAATCGATCGATAGATTTGGCAAAGATTCAGCACAAAAGTAGTCAAAATTTTGGGTAAAAGGGCAATATCTGGCCGTACCGACGACTGCTTGGAGCGACCTCGAGGGGTTGTGGATGCATGGGACCGACGGCGCACGAGGACGGGGGTTGTTGTTGGAGTGGTAGACGGACTCGACGCACGTGCCACCGCCGCCGTCGTCTTGCCCGCCTTTGCAAAGCGACCGCCATGCTTGTCGTGCTGCTGGAAATGCATGGGAGGTCGCGCACTGCTGGCACTTAGTACGTCGTCCTGCAATGGGTCGTCTTGAACGTCCACTGTGATTAACTCCCCTGGAATCATGTGCTCCACGCCCAAGATCTGCGCGTGGTTTGCCTTGGCGTACAGACCGCGCACATGCGACACGTGCAGTGTGCGACAGAGGTTCTTGACCAAATCCTCGTAGCTCCACTCCTTCCTCGCCACGTACCGCACAACCCACGGAGTCGCCGCCTCCTTCCCATAATGCACTTGCACGTCCACCACCACGACCGCCTGGTCTCGTGCCGAGTCGAATGAAAACCCCCGAGACAGGTTGCTGCGCAGGAGGCCGCCCGACAGCGCCCTGTACGCGCTGGAAAAGATGCTGCCGTGCTCGTCATGGACGGGGGATGACGAAGGCGACGTCATCACCGCGTCGTCGGACGTGGCGGCTTGTACGCCGTGATTGGAAATCTCATACGCCCAGTTGACCCCGCACACGAGTAACGGACCAAATACCACACCCTACAATGACCATATATATATATATATTGTGTCTTTGATCCAAGAACCAACCAAAAAGAACGCGATACGAGTATGTATATATATTTTCACAAAAATATTTGTGTATCCATCATTCAAAATCAAGGACGCAACAGCATATCCAACTAGCTAGTAGACGCCAAAGCAATACCACTTTCAGCTACATATCTATATAAATATAAACTCTCAAACAACAGTATATAGACTAATTAGTACTAGTACTATACAGTCTCGACCAATGAAAAGTGCTAGTAATATATTTAGCTCTCTATACAGTCTACAAACTATAAACAATCTCCAAGTACAGTATAAGTCTCAGCCAACAACAAGTCTGACTATAAATCAATCGTGTTCTAAAAGAGCGAACATAAGAATCGATCGATAGATTTAGCACAAAAGTCAACCAAATGTAGGACAGTAATCTATTGTCGATTGCAAGACTATATATATATATATATATATACCTCGAGACCAAACACATACACGCCAAACGCTACGCTGAGTGCGGAAATGTAGGCGTTGATCGAGGTCAAGCTGCGCTCGTAAAGCACTTGGTCGATCCAAGTAAACGCCAAGTAATGCACGACCAAGAGTGCGACCGCCGGCACGAACGACGTCGACAGGCGCAGACACACGTACGGTAAGCAGATCAAATACGGCGGGATAATCGGCACAATCGATATGAAGAACGAGAGCAACGTGCCGAGAAATACAAAGTCTGTGCCCTAGACGAGTATTTTTCACATTTTTAATTTGGACAGTGTACTTACCACGATCGAAAACGACACGAGCGACACAATCGCATGCAAGCTTGAGATTTTCATGGGCAGAAAAAACACGCCTTCAATTGCACGACGGAGCGACGCGACCATGGCCGGTCGCTTCTCGGGGGCAATGGGGATCAAATCATGCACAATCTAACAGCACAATCATACGTGGGTGGACGCATATATATATATATATATATATACTTCCTGATTCTATATATATATATATACTTCCTGAATTAATAATCATATATATATATATACTTCCTGAATCAATAAGCAATATCGGAAGAATATATTTAGAAAGAGAGAGGAAGAGAGAGAGAGAGAGGGAGAGAGAGAGTGATTAGGTACATGGATATGGTCAATACTTCAAAGTATATAAATATTGTTTATATATATATATAGAGAGAGAGAGAACGATTGGGTCGATGGATCTTGTCAATTCGATTCGACATTTGGAGGGATGTGTATTCAACTCGACAGACAATCGATCGACCAATCAAAACCGAGAACACAAACCAACGGGCCAATCAAACACCATCGATTTCGGGTATGACTTCAAATAGTCGTGCATGGCGTCACATACACACACACAAAGAAGCAGGATACCACATCGACCGATATCTTGGGTGAATATGAGCCTCTAAAACCTCCATGTTTGTGTTGTCAATCATTGGGCATACGCCAACGAACACGCCTATGTCCGTATTATATATATATATATACAAGGCATCTATATATATATAGTCACTGAGTAGGTAGAACAAAGACGTGACAAAGAAGAACGACTTGAGTCCGATGCTCACGAACGCCACGACAATCGTCACGAGCACAAAGAGCAGCTGGACGACCGACCCCACGGCCATGCCGCTGTACTCCAAGCCTTTCGACGTCATATCCGTCACTTCGACGCTGGTGAGGTTGAAGTCGCTGAATTGGGCATACGCCAACGAACACGCCTATGTCCATATTATATATATAGGATGTGTATTCAACTCGACAGACAATCGATCGACCAATCAAAACCGAGAACACAAACCAACGGGCCAATCAAACACCATCGATTTCGGGTATGACTTCAAATAGTCGTGCATGGCGTCACATACACACACACAAAGAAGCACGATACCACATCGACCGATATCTTGGGTGAATATGAGCCTCTAAAACCTCCATATTTGTGTTTTGGCTAAAAGCTCAAGTCTAATATATATATATATATACCCGCTCGATGGGGTCCCACTTGGCGCTGAGTAGGTAGAACAAAGACGTGACAAAGAAGAACGACTTGAGTCCGATGCTCACGAACGCCACGACAATCGTCACGAGCACAAAGAGCAGCTGGACGACCGACCCCACGGCCATGCCGCTGTACTCCAAGCCTTTCGACGTCATATCCGTCACTTCGACGCTGGTGAGGTTGAAGTCGCTGAATTGGGCATACGCCAACGAACACGCCTATGTCCATATTATATATATACAAGGCATCTATATCTATATATATATATAGTGACTAAGACAATCGATCGACCAATCAAAACCGAGAACACAAACCAACGGGCCAATCAAACACCATCGATTTCGGGTATGACTTCAAATAGTCGTGCATGGCGTCACATACACACACACAAAGAAGCAGGATACCACATCGACCGATATCTTGGGTGAATATGAGCCTCTAAAACCTCCATGTTTGTGTTGTCAATCATTGGGATATAGATATATATACTTCCTGAATTAATAATCATATATATATATATACTTCCTGAATCAATAAGCAATATCGGAAGAATATATTTAGAAAGAGAGAGGAAGAGAGAGAGAGAGAGGGAGAGAGAGAGTGATTAGGTACATGGATATGGTCAATACTTCAAAGTATATAAATATTGTTTATATATATATATATAGAGAGAGAGAACGATTGGGTCGATGGATCTTGTCAATTCGATTCGACATTTGGAGGGATGTGTATTCAACTCGACAGACAATCGATCGACCAATCAAAACCGAGAACACAAACCAACGGGCCAATCAAACACCATCGATTTCGGGTATGACTTCAAATAGTCGTGCATGGCGTCACATACACACACACAAAGAAGCAGGATACCACATCGACCGATATCTTGGGTGAATATGAGCCTCTAAAACCTCCATGTTTGTGTTGTCAATCATTGGGCATACGCCAACGAACACGCCTATGTCCGTATTATATATATATATATACAAGGCATCTATATATATATAGTCACTCGAGATAAACTAGAAAGTCGACTAGGCATATACTGTATACACTCATCCAAAGGCGTGCTATTTGTCACCCAAATTTGCCACATATTATGATTGGCCAAAATGCATGCAGGTGGCATTGTGATTGGCTAAAAAGAAGATGCCTATGCTGCAGTCCACAGGTGTACCTCTTAAACTTAGTTAAATATCGTATTTCGAAGGTACGGTTGGGCGGTTTCGACATATTGCAATACAACAATATCTTGAGTAGAACATACAATAATACGACGAATACGACGATAAAAAATTACATTTATGAGATCAACATATAATAAACGTCCAATTATTTATGGAAAATATACGTTACCAGCTATAAAAGAAAAAATAAACACAAGAGAAAAATATATTATGGTTTCAGTACAAATTTCCAGACCCGTCGATTCGAATAATGTCGCCGTCCGAATAATCGAATCACGAATCATCGACGTGATTGGCTAACTAATCCAATTTTGAGTGGATTTGATTGGTTCTTACAAAAAGGGCAAGTATATTCAGCCAATCAGAACACTCCTGCGTGATTCATAGGATATAATAAAAAAGTTTCGAAGTTATGGATTGCACGTAGGTGTGTATGTATACATCGAACGTACTTGCACCCACGTCAGGTTTGGAAACAGGCTGCTGCTTCCACTGGCGCCGCCGTGCACTATCGTCGTGTTCGCGGGCGTATCGTAGTACGACACGAGCATGGCCTTGAATGGCCCAAACCAGAGTGTGCGGTTATACGACCCTTCCACGCCGTGGATCGCCGACGACACCATCGCCTTGCCATTCGCCATCTGCTCCGACCACATGGCCCGCGTGCGCTCGTCGTTGACGACGTTCGTGTGGATCCATCGACTGACTTGGGACGCAGCCAATGATCCCTCCATGTAGCTTTCCGTGCCCAGGTAGAACAAGACAAAGAACCCCTACGTTAAAGTTGATTTCTGGTGTCAGATCAAAGTACGGGTGGTCGTGGTGATGGAGGTAGGTTCATCATGCGTACAATCACAAAGCACCCCAGAATCAACAGCAGGGACACGAGCACGTCGTCCGAGATGAAGAGGCGGTAGTAAAACACCCGGCGATCTAACACCCACACGGCCAGACTCGCCACGACCACAATCCCGACCGACAGCTGCAGAAACGACGACAAGCTAAACATGCGCACGTAGATGGACACGCCGCTGATCCATGCAAAGATGAAGATGCCGTTGTCCATAACGAGGTTGGTCAGCTTGTCTTGGGGACGGTCCACGGGGGGGGGTGCGTCGGCGTCGGTGCCGGTTGCGCGGGGACGCCGCGTCGAGCGTAGAAAGTACGGGATCGCTTGTGTCCACACAGTGTACAACAGTCCCTAGTCGCCACCACGAAATATATATCAAGACTGGTTGAACGGGACCACGTGATGCACGTACGTCGCGCTGAATTTCCTTGTCGCGGCTGAGGTAGCGCAATAGGCGGCAGATCTTCTCTTTCGCGCCGCGCAGCGCTTGGCTGAAGAGGAAGGCCCAGATGATGACCCGGAAGTAGTCTTCGAAGAGGATGAAGTTATAGTACACGAGCGTGAGCACCACGGCGGTCGAGATGTTGCCGATGATCGTGCCGACCGCAAAGTCGAGAATCTCGGACGGCATCGCTTCGGTCGTGGGTGGCAATCTTTCCGTTGGCAGGTCACACACAGGGACACAGACCGTACATTGTACATTACTGTATTGTACGTAATGTACGTACTGTACTATTGAACGGATTCTAGGTATACAACGTTCATGCAACACGTACATGCTGTCCACCCACCACATAGCCAAGCAGTTGAGCTTGAACTTGTATGTCAAGAGACTTGATGGCTGTAGGACACTCGACCTGACGTTGCCGCCTTCAATACATGAATATGAAGGGGCGGCGCCCCATGGCAGCGGCGCACACTTCTTCACGACGGACGCTACGCCTCACTTCTAGACAGGCTGCGTTGCACATTCTGTATAGTGCCCCACGCGTATATGTCTGTGCGCTCAATAGCTAGTGGGTCAGAACTTCTGACCCGATTGATAACGACGACACACGGTCACATAAACATAGTAGATTTCATCGGTGGCTATCCTGTGGCACGTCGCTACGACGCTTCGCCTAGAAGCCTTGCCACGATGATGTTGCCCCATGCGTTGAGCACCGTTGCGACAGGGTCCACGATGCACTCCGCGACGAACAAAAAGCTGATGGCATATGGCGGGGCGAGCCCTGTAAGCATTGCAAACACGCAGATCACGACGACCATGCCGCCATTGCGCACGGGAGTGACTGCCAGCGACCCCACCGTGGCCAGCACGACCAGCAACGCCACCTTGGTTGGTGAGAAAATGGTTTGCAAACCGCCGTTTGAAAACAACCAGATCACAGACAGACTCACGTACAGCGCGCCGCCGTTCTTGTTGAGCGTGGCGCCGGTGCCGATGGCAAACCTCGTTTTCGCCGTCGGCTGGCCCACGGTTCGCTCGAACGTGCTGAGGAGTACATGGAGGCTTTTGCGGGAGGACGAAGTGTGCAGTGCGTAGATGAGGGCATCCCGCATGTGCCAGAGAAAACGAAGGGGCGACAGGCGGCCGCGTGAACCAACGACTGCCACAACCGGCAGAACGACCACGGCATGCACCGCGGCTACGCCCACAAATACCAAGACATACCAGCACACGCCAATAAGGCCATTCGTGGGCTTGGTAAAATCAAACACGTTGTGCGTGCCAGCGTAAATGGGTCCCGCCACGAGCGAAATGAGGGCCAGAGGGGTGGTCATGGCAATCCACGAAGTCATGATTTGAAAGACAGAGACAAGTTCCCGTAGCGCGGCTAGTACTGTGATGTTGCCGGCAGCACTGTCGGAAGATAGTGATTTGAACTGGGTGAGATGGGCGCCTATGGCTACGCCAGTGGCCAGTGCCCCCACCACAAGTGCCACGACGTTGGTGTTGGTGGCTTCGACGAAGCGAGTGGGGGTGATTTCCAAGACCGCCGCGATCACTTCCTGGATCGTCGACGTATACCGTGCCAATCTGTTGACAGACGGGTCGATGGCATAAGGAGCAAACTCGTCCGAGCCAAATGAAAACACGGTTTGGTTGGTCGCGTGGCAGGTCATGATTTGCCTTACCGGGTCGAAGAACAAGGACGTTTTCGTGGATGTCGTGGGGCATTCAAGTGATACAGCAGGGGCGCGAAAGTTGTATCGACTTCCTTCAAACGTTGGCGCCACGAGCGAGCCGACATACACCCCTTGAACGACGATCGCGAACGACATGGCCAACGACATCAAACCTACACGCACCCCTAGCTTGGCCACCCCCGGCGTCCTCGACGAGGCAATATCAGCGGCCACCAACGTCAAATTGAGAAATGCAAACGGCAGAGCCACGCAAGTAAGTGCTCGAAGGTACGCCCTGCCTGGCTCTAACATGATTCGCTCGATAGCTCTGTTCGAGCGTGCGTCGTATGCGCGCATCGTTGGATACACGGCGTCCAGCGTGACAAGATAGCCCACCACCAGCCCCATGCCTGCGCCAAGGAGCGTGCCTGGCGCCCCCCTGTACATGTTGACCAGCCTGGCTTTGGTTTCGCTCAAGGATTTTTTTCCGCGGGTGGTCAATGGAATGTATGGTGGCGATGGTTCGTATGCGTCGGGGTGGTGTGGTTCCATCCCTGCCACATGAGACGACTGCGATGGACGCATGCTGGGACGTTTTTGAATGTGTGTGATCATTTTTTTATCATTTGTGCCAAGCGACCCAGTTGATCACCACGTGTTGACACCATCAGGTTACAGTGTAGGGGGATTTCGTAGGGCGACTAGAACCGTATTGCATTTGTGTAAAGCGACGGTAGCTCTGTGACCATGTCGTTGTCGATTTCCTTCGTACGTGGCGAGCTGTTGACGGGGGTCATTTGTGCTGGTCGTGTGCTAATGTGGTGCTTGCGGTGTACTGCACCCTTGGTGTTTGTGTGGTACAGGACCTTACGGTATCATCGCGGTCCCACCCCCATAAAGTTCTCATATCGGTATACTGTTTCATGTTTACTACAGTATTACGTAGTACTTCATGTTCACTACAGTAGTACTACGTAGTAGTATTACATTACTGTACTAGTAGTCCATTGAGGGTTGAGGGTTTGAGACAGTTGACCATGCGAACTGTGAGGGTGATTTGGCTGTCACAAAGCAATTCCCCTGCGGGGGGAACAACAGTTCCACGCAATCGTTTCACTTGTTCTTATTATGGCATAGTTAAATTCAGTGTAAACCGAAGCAAATTCCACCTAGCAGTTGGTGTCTTTCAGTGGTTAACTATAGCTACAGTAACCATAGAGATGCAACGTAACCCCAGAAATAGCAACCAACACAAGGGAGGTCCGGGGGTTCGGAGGTTACAGCGCTCTGGTACTTTTTTTTGGAATGTTTCTATGTGACAGGACTACCTAGTTGAGGCAAACCAGTTTCTCCTCACGTAGTAAGTACGTAGTAGTAGTACTAACACAACTAACGTTAAGCTAAGCTACTGTAACTCGTATTTCACCTTCACGTAGTACGTGCATTTTGAGCATTGTGGTTGAAATCTTGGTGTAACTGGTCTCCTCTGGAGGGTACACCAGGGCTGACCAAAGGCAACGTCGGCAAACTTGATCTTGAAAAGGGCTAGTTCAAAAAGATCCCTGGTTTGAGTTTGTGGGGAATGAGTCGGTTGTACAGCTTGGAGAGGTGCGGAATTGTGGTGATTGTTTACCGTTCGCTTTGAAACCGCCTTGACGGTTTCTCGCGACCTTTCGTCGTAACGGTGGTTCTATCCTTCCACAACGTTTGGTTAAGCGTCTCAATGTAATTCCAGCAGCTCTTTCAATAAACTGAAAGCCTTGATGCCTTTGTCTGCTTCGTCGTCCATCGTTCTGGCTGAAGAGGGCGTCGCCGCGTCTGTGTGTGACCGCTGTTCGTTGTGCTACGACCCTAACTTTGGCTGCACGACGCTGTACGACAAAAATTCGTGCGTGTTTCCCGACCAAACGTGGTGTGCCTACTACGTGTACTCGCAGCAAACGATATTGCAGCCGTCGTCGGCCGCGTCTCCCGTGTGCAGCCAGTGCAGCAAATGCTACTACAACAGCCAGGGTTTTAAGTGTGCGATTCCCGGTTCACGGCGTCCACTTGTGGCCTGTACGGGCTTAAGTGGTGCGGCGTGGGCAGGTCCAACGGCCCCAATGCGACAGTGATCAACACGGGGCCGACGGCAGGCTGCAGCAAATGCAGCACCTGCTGGGACTCGAAGACCACCAGATGTGTGGCGTCGTCGGCCATTGGGCAATGCGTTCAGCTCGGCCCAAGTCTGGTGCGGCGACGTGCGCAAGCAGTGCGGCGCGTGCCACGGCTGCCTCGACTCAACCACGAAAGAGTGCAAGCCGGACACGGTCGACACTTGTTCGAGCGCTGGTCAAGTGTGGTGCTCGCCGTTGACGCCGTGGAGGCAACCGAAAAGCCTCGTGATCGATTACAACGAATGGTACAACGGCAAGAGTTGGGGCGAGCGTCCAGCGTCGCTCCTTTGTGACTGGCCCCCCATCGACTCCACGTGCTTTACGGACCCGTTCGTCAAGGCGTCCAACCGGTGGATCCATTTGCCCATGGCACCTTCTTCGTCTAGTGCAATGGTGGCGTCGGAGCTTGTGGCGAGCGAACCGACACTGTCCGACGGTCCAGTTTCGTGCAACCCAGACCCGCGATACATTGACATCTCCAGACCCGGCTGGTGGGGCGTTGGCAACTGGCCTCCAACGATCTGCAAGCCCAACCTGCTAACTGTGTGAAACTACTACAGGACGAATAACTTCATGTCGCATCAAGTGTTGGCAGTCGTAGGTGCCGTCGTGGCGATGGTTGTGGAACGAAGCGAGTGAAGGGGCAAACAGCGAGCAGCAGCCGCAAGACGACGACAATACGCTCGACTTTCCATTCCTTTCGTGATTGAATGATCGACGGTGTGACAGAGTTAAACCAACTAACTAATACTCATGATATGCGTGTGGAAGTCTTGGGGGATGCCACCTACTACACCCTGTAGTAGCACCAAAACCAACTATAGAAGTACTCATTTCATTTTGTGTCAACTTGTATACATCTTGATCTCCTGGTTACAATATACGGTGTATTCTCAGATAGAAAGACAGCGGAGTTCGCTCAAAAGTGAAAGGTGGGGGATAGGTTACACTGTAGTCGCTATAGCTTAACGTTTCCCAATAAAGCCTCACCACTTGACCTGTTTGTTTGAGTTTTGAGCCCCCGCCTACCGAGCTTGTGATTACGCTTGTAACGATGTGTTTCTATCCATCGATACCTAAACCACAACACAAGAATCGTCGTCCTCAAATATCGGAACATTTCAACCACAACAGTATCCTTCGAGCGTTGTCGTCTTCTATTCGATCGATACTAGCAACGATCATGCATGTACCATTTTGTTTTTCCCCGTCATAATGCTAACACCAAACGACGACATGCCATGGCGATGGACCATGGCATCTACGCCCAATGAAGCCAGCCACGACGATGTCGAAACAGTCGGTTCTTTGGCCACTACAATGCCATCCGTGTTGTACTCGGACGACGCGATGTTGTTCCTGTCGTCGTCACTGACGGAAGACCAGCGTGCCGTCTTGGCGGACTGCAACCAAATGCGAAATTTCGGCCGCCCTGGCTACGAACATGAATGGGCCCCCTCTGAGCACCAAGCGTCCGCGGCGCTTGCTGACGCCCCCCCAGCAGCAGCAGCGGCATCTCCGCTTGCTCTGGCCGAGGCGTGGTCGGCAGATTTGCTTCAGAACGTTTGGTCCCACGCCGACAACACCAACACCCACCTCGCCCTCATGGGCGGAGGTATCGTCGTCGCATTCGTGGCTGTCGTGGCGCTAATTGTCACTCGCATCACTGGCCCATCTACATCGCATCACCTTCGAGCTACATTCGACGAGGACGGCGATGAATTCGACCCCGACGACGTATACCATCCGTTGCTTTAACTTCTTTGACCTGTAACTTGCATAACGTCTATTTTTGACCTTTCCGTGCCCCTTGTTGCTGATCGTCAGCGAAAACAATCACACACAAACCAATAATCCATGCGCCACACCGCATCTAGCTCGGCAAAGGGAGGGGCGTCGTCGCCGTACGTACAAGGCCTCGCTCCGTCCAGCAAGTCCATCCAACAGTTGATGGACGACCAGGAAGCAGCCTATATCCGCGTGACCAACCCCGAGCCTGAAACACGAGGGGTTGCACCTCTGAGACACCGAAGCCACATCGTGCGGGACAGATATTTCGCCGCCGCCGCAGCTGTCTCCACCTCTCCCAAAGGCTATCCACCTAAAAACAACTATACCAAACAAACACGACCAGGCAAGGGGGCCGCGACGCGTTCGGACGCGCCTCTATCGTCACCATGTCGCACTCCACCCCGCCCCACGTCGGCCGTCACCAATGCCTCGACGCATGCAGCCCTTGCCAAAAAGCGGATCACATCGTTTGAGCATCGCCGATTGAACCATTTCTACAACCGTCAAGTGTTTTCGCTGGGGGGTAACAACATGCCGAGCGACCAGCGACTGGAGATGGCACCGAGTTTGCCAAGCGCCAGTGTACCCTACCACGTCCGCGACAACGACAGAGGGTCCGGCTCGGAGGATGAAGTAGATAAGGATAACTTTGACACTGCCGAGGACGAGGACGGATTCGACGAACGAATTCTGGATGCCCATCCACAGACGGACGACCTTTACGACCAGTGCTTCGAGGTACTGTACTCGTGTTGTTTGAACAAGGGGTTCTATTGGGCGACTTAATAGGCGGACTGGACGGCGAGTCAGATCGAAAAGGTGGTCAAAGATGGCGTTGAGTGCCGACGGATCTACGCGGCGATCAAGCCGCATTACCGCGTTCTCGTGTGTTTGTTTCGATTGCATGCTACGGTCGCCCCCACCCCCACGGTACGCAATCCCCACCAAACGTATATCATTTCCACAGAAAGTGATATATATCATTTCCATGACACGACAAACACGTTGTATGAAGGACCCATGCTTTCGGTTGACGGCAAAGCTAAAGTTGCTCGAAGGGCTCAACGTCGTTGTCGCCGACCCCACTCGCCATGGCATCAGTACAAGACCATATTCTATAGCAATTTCATCAACGATGTCCAATAATTTTCCATCTTCGTAGACGATCAACCGATGCCCCGGCATGGATTGCTTCCGTTTGTCGTGCATATAGCGCAGGTATACTTGAAGCGCGAAGAGCTCGTGATCATGCTCAAGCGCTTGGCTCGCGAAGGCTTGGACACGTCGTCGGCATTGCATCACCTGCTGCATGACAATATCCTTCCGTATGCCAACATCCAGGACGGGCAACATTTTCGTCGCCTGTTCCACAATCATCCGGACATCCAAAGCGTGCACTTCAAGTACGCCACCGCCGTGGCAAAGGTGTTTCAAATGCACGCAACGCTTGCGACGAGCGACCCCCTCTTGGGCTCGGGGCAGGGGAACCCCCCTCCGGACGTTCGATTTCTCAAACTCGCTGGGTTCTTGTCTATCCTGTCGTCGCTGCATCAAGTACGTGGTGGTTGTTCATGCTACTGCCACGTCAAATATTGGGAAATATATATGTGGTCCTAATATTGAAGGGGTAGATGGACGCCAAGTTTGACGATGTCAAAGCCACGCATGTGTTTGTATCGTGCTTACCCGTTTGGCCCGACGACTTGGCGGTGGTGGCCCAAGAGCTGACGTTGTCAACATTCCAAGAAGCTCTCACCAAGGTACTCATTAGCATTTTTAGGATACATTACGTTTACACTGGAACCGTTAGGCAGCGTATTTTAAGTGCGCGCTGGCGTTGTGCAACGGCGACGACGATGTTTGTCCTGGACGGGCCAACTCGGAACGGTGCAAATGTCATCCGAATGTCGTAGCAGATGAAGAGCGGTACTCGTTGCACGTGTTGGTGGACACGTTACAAGTCATGCTTACTAAATGTGGAGCGCCCGCGGGCCGACGGTCTCGGAGACAATCGATCAAGCATGACTCCCTCGTGAAGGTGTAGCACCTATGCTAGCCCTCAACTGTTGTCGCTACGGCATTGTAAATAATATGATAATATGAAGCGATTATTGTAGTGTGGCCACGTAGTAACGTAGGTTCCAAGTTACGGCAGACTATTCCATATATCCACTCTGCATAAAATCACAGTCGCATTCATCTTACAGTACGGTATCAGGCTGCACACACACATGTCATGGCATACGAAACCAAGTCGTGACTTTATGTATTAATAGTAGTATTCGGTACATTTTCGCTGGAAACAGGCGTGGCTACGCAACACATTCAAAGATTATCCAATTGATTGTCGATGTTGTTGCCTTGGAACGCGTGGTTGTACGTCAACATCAACTTGGCGTTCGACGATATTGCAGTTGCCACGTCCGTGGGGGACAAATCTAGCGCGCGTTGCACCGACTCTAGCGTTTCAGGGCAGTGCAACTCCAAGATTTCGAGCCCAAGTGTGGGCTCTGTCACGTTCCGACGTACGAGAGTTTGCACCAAGAGCTGTTGTTGTTGTTTCGTTGAATTGTGCTACAGTACCATTCGTTTCAAAGTCCAGCGTTGTCAATGAGGCTTACGGATGATTCGAGCTGCTGCTGCTCATCGTCGCCATAGTCGTCATCTTGGTCCCACAATTGATTCGAGTCTATTGCACACGCAAATAACCAGAGATAAGAGTGTGTGACTTCACATGTACGGTATAGGGTAACCAGGGATGGAGGTTACAGTAGCCCACCTTGGTTATTCCTCAAGAAGTTTCGCAACGTTGCGGCGTGCTCAAAGCTGTATTGGCTCGCCAAATCAAACGCCGATAGCCCCTATCCAGTCATATATTTTTCGTGACCTCGAATGGGTGGTCCATCTTTAAGCTGTACGTTGTAGTTGGTAGCAAGGGCGTTACACCCGTGTTCTATGAGCCACAATACAGTCTCCATGCAACCATGCGCGGCTGCCACGTGCACACACGTATTGCCGACGTGATTGGTCGCATCCAAATCCAGTCCCCTCTCAACGAGCCATGCCAACAGTTTCGTGAGCCCCAGTTTGGCCACGATATGGCCGTGCGTGTCGAGCTAAAACACATGCATATCGTGTTCATCAATAGTGCTTCCTCGACTTTCAAATGAAAAGGCAGGTAACTACTACCGTCACAGGGTCTCGAGCTGTCATGAACAACTTGCCAAATAGTTGATAGAGTTGGTCGATGTCTTGTAAGTTGGAGGAACGCGAAGCATCCATGAACATGTCCATGCTGGTGCTGCTGCAGTTCATCGTCGAGAGTCAGTTTCATTACTCGGTTTCATCACAACGACATAAATGAAATGCGACATGTCCCTGCACTAAGGCGGTGATTCGCCCTACAACTAGATGAGATTCCATTCTTCGGACGTTGATTGAACGCCTTGGGTCTCTCACCTGTCCTTGGCTCCAACGCTGCATCCTAGCGGGCTGAGCCAGTCGCCTTCGAACGGCAAGACTTAGGGGTCCCGCGGCGGGCAGTGGCCGATCGTCGCCGAAAGGATGAGTCCCGATGGGGGTCAAGTAGCAAGTAGTGCAAGAGCTCGAACGTCAACTCGCACAAAATGATCGTCCTAGGGATCGAGTCGGGGTTATCCAGGCGGTTACCCATAACGACATCCAAACACGGGTGCCAATCTACCCCCCCCCGCTGCCAACAACTCGGTCGTTCGACTCATTTTTGCCCCTTCGTATGTTACGAACCACATGACGACCGCCCCCAAACCCTCGACCAACCGCCAGCCATTCAAAAGAAGCCGTCAGTTCAACCGGCCAAGCAGCCGCGCCCTCAAGGGACGGCCAAGTACTCCACCGACTTGTCCAAGAAACCTTCAGCAGTTTTCAAACAAACAACCATGCCGCCTGCCGCAGAGAAATCACCAGGTCCAGAAATCCATTTTGCTGCAGAGTGTAGGGGACTTGGGGTTCGTGTTGCTGCGCTCCTTTCTTTCATCTGTTCGGGGGGGGACTACTTTCCAATTTCGTTGGTTTTTCTAAGTCAGTTTCGTCACTGATTTATATGAATTCGTATATGCTCCAATTGGATGTCCTCGTTCCGAGTCGTCAAATCGCTGAATGGAATCCGAGCAACTATTTAAATAATAGAGAACAGTGCAACGATACTGTTGATATCAAGTTCACGAATAACGCCACGGTACCGCCAAGGTCAATACTAGTACTGTACTGTACAATGGGTAGAATATGACATTTGGAACTTTATTGCTAAATAACATGCGTAACGTTCGTGTAACAAAATATTGTACGTAAAGTGAGGCATCGTAACTGTTGAAACCGTTCAACTTGTCGCCATGTCCAAGGCCAAGGCCACTACCGCTGCCCCGAAGTTTGAAATCCCCGACGTGGATGTGAACCCGTTCAAGCTGGCCGCCGTGGGCAACCTACAGATCCTCAAGACCCTGGTGAACCCCACGGGGAACAAGGAAGGCGAGTATCAAGGCAAACCCATTGATGTGAATGCAAAGGACGTCTATGGGTGCACACCCATGATCTGGGCGGCTCGGAATGGCTACTTTGAGCTGTTTGAGTTCCTCGTGGCGAATGGTTCGGACATTGACACTACATCGTTTGGCGGCATGACAGCGCTGCACCACGCCGTGAATCACTGCCGACTCAACGTCGTCACAAAACTCATCGAGTTGGGGGCGAGCATCGACATCAAGGACGACAGTGGCAACACTCCTCTGCACCTAGGTGCAGGTCGAGGCATTCTGAATCCGGTGCTGTCGCTGCTTGCGGCCGGCGCCAACATCAACGAAACCAACGCCCAAGGCATCACCCCTCTGCACAAAGCCGCAAGCGCGGGCCACTTTCCATGCGTGGAAAAACTGTTGGAGAATCGAGCCGACCCAAATGCAGCCAATGTGGAAGGGAACACGAGCTTGCATTTAGCGGCCAAAGGTGGCTTTGACAATATTGTGCATGTGCTGGTCGATTCCAAGGCGAACATTACGCTCAAGAACAAGGCGGGCAAGACAGCCAAGGACCTCGCGCTGACCCCCGAAATAGCCAGACGCTTGTGATGGATATCATGTGTGCATTCATTCACTGAACGAGTTCGAACACTTGTTGGTTGTGATCCTCTACTGCAACATACTGCAAACTCGAGACTTGAAAAGTGTTTTCATATTATACACGATTGTGCAAACTGCAAACTCGAGGCTAAGGCTTTTTCTTTTTCGCGTATTCGTAAAAGAACGTGGGCAAGGTCTTGTAGGCTTTGAAGTCGTCGTCGTCTGTATCTAAAATGGTGTGGTGACCCACACAAGTGACGTACCACCACACGCACCTGTGGGCTGACTTGGGCTTTCTAACCTCGCTTCGTACAACGCACTCACTTCTTTGCCATACCTACATACGCCAGCAGTTGTTGGTCAATGCTATCGCAAAGAGTCGTTGTTACCTGTCCCATGTTATCATGATAAGAAAGACGAAGAAGAGAAAGAGCAACGCCAGCGCTGCAATGAACTTTGTCTGGATGGACGTGGCATCGCCTGTATGAATGTCACGCCATGTTGTCGCTTCGAACGTGTGTGTGTCCATCTTACCGAAGATGTCCATGCGATGGCCAACTTGCAAAACGCCGGATAATGTGTACCTCCAAAATCCTTATCCGAAAGGGTATCCGGAATGCAATGTATCCGGCTGACCCGAACTATCCGGATATCCTTCACCATTGATCATCAACATAACAATGTCGGTCCGCTTGGAGGAAGTCGCAGTGTTGGCAGGCCATTCCGAGTGCGTGTGGCACGCGTCGTGGCACCCGAACGGGTCCTTGTTGGCAACTTGTGGCAGCGACAAAACGATCCGCATCTGGTCTCCTTCCCGGAACGCCAAGACGCCGCAGGATGCGTGGGACTGCGTCGCGACGCTCGAAGACGCCCAGGGTCGAACCATTCGCGCGTGCGAGTGGTGCGTCGAGATCGTCCACGCGACCACCTTCTTCTTAACACATGTGTAGGTCGCGCAACGGACAGTACATTGCGTCGGTCAGCTTTGACGCGACGACTGTGATCTGGGAAAAGCAGGGCGACGTGTACGAAGTGATCGCGTCACTGGAAGGCCACGAGAGCGAAGTCAAGAGCGTGGCGTGGAGTCCGTCGGGGTCGTACTTGGCCACATGCAGCCGCGACAAGAGCGTGTGGATCTGGGAGGCCGACGCCGACACGGACTTTGAGTGCGTGTCAGTTTTACATGGCCACAGCCAGGATGTCAAGTTCGTGACGTGGCACCCGGACGAAGACTTGCTGTTCTCGACATCGTACGACGACACCGTATGTGTATGGGCCGAGCGCGACGGTGCGTCTCCTCCTTCTTCCTACTTGACGGAGCCGTCCGCCTTATTTCTTGGCTTGGCTAGCTTGACATCGTGCCTGTGTTTTGAGGTCACTGGCCTGGATGATGGTTGTCGCTATGTTTGTGCTTGAATGGTCCTACGTTGTTTGCCTCCGAATTCGGCATGGGTAGTACTACTAGTACCTCCGAATTCGGCATGGGTAGTACTACTAGTTAGTTGCTATTGTCCTTGGACCCGAAATTTAGACACTAGTGTGCTGCTTCGCCAAACATCTATCGATATCGATTCTCTATCTCACTGACGTTTGCAGCATGCAAAAATCGTGCAGTATCACACTAATTGAAGTCACATACCAATTCGGTATTGAAACCATCGACGAGCGGATTTGATTGGCTACTGGATTCTTTGTGTTCTGGTTGTTTTGATTGGTCGAATATCGATTGTCTGGATTTGATTGATTTGGAGCATGTTGGATTTTGAGCCCTTTCGAAATAATCGACTTGACATTACTATTAATAGTACTTGACTAATAGTGTCGAGTACGGTATCGCACGCCTAAATCACTAGGACCTTTGTTCATCTTGTTTGAATCCCATACACTGGTAAACGATATATATTAATATGACTAGATGACTGGGCTTGCGTGGAAACGCTGACTGGTCACAAATCCACCGTGTGGGCCGCCACCACCGACGCCACAGGACTCCGACTCGCGACCTGCTCCGACGATAAGTCCGTGCTCTTGTGGCAGCGGCACCCCGCCACGTTGACGGCTGATGGACGGTACGTCGTCACACATATGGAGCATCGAAAACAGATGCAAATAGCCGCGAATGGACTGTGACGGGGTTTGGTTGTGTGTCATCTATGTAGATCGAGTGAGTGGACCCAAGTCGATGCACTCACAGGGTACCACCCTCGCGCCGTGTTTAGCATCCACTGGAATATCTCGACTAACGTGTTGGCCACTGGATGTGGCGACGATGGCATTCGCCTCTTTCAAGCGAATCCCTCCACTGCCAAGTTTGAACTCGTCTACCAACAAGTGCACGCCCACGCAGGTACACGAAGTGTGATGGAAATAAATATACATGATGTTTGATCGTTCGATATATATATATGGCATTTTTAGGGTACATGAAGTGTTTGGAATAAAATATGGATGGTATTTGATCGTTCCATATATATATATATATATATATATATATTATTGATTTGATACGAATATTTCCGGACCCCGTTCATCGCTCCAATGGGTCAATTTGACATTCCCCTTTTCACTGATTGGCTACATGAGTGTTTGATTCTGCGGAATTCGGGGACCGCCAAATATCAAATTGCAATTCGAAACTCACCCAAATCATCCAGAATATTTTCATTTATATATATATATATATTTGATTGATGGGCCGTGAGTAGGAGACGTCAATTGTGTCCGATGGTCACCGACGGACCCAGCGTTGTTGGTATCTGCAGGCGACGACGCGAACGTGCGGCTGTGGCGCGCTGTGACATTGTAGTAGTAGTACTACTAGTAGTACTAACTACGTTTTGTTTTTGACATACTTTTTTTCATTCTTTTTTTGTTGCTTTTTTGCGTCGGTTCAGACAGTGTGCACAATCTTGTCGCTCAACGTGTGAAAGCAGTTGTCCAATTCCACGACGAGGGCGTCGACGAGATCGTCCACCAACATTCCTTCCAATCTACAATGGAATACCACACCATTGGACGACGTCCGAGATCGTACACTGCATGGATGATGTGTCGATCGTACAATTCAATCACCACGGGCTGCGCCATCCCCGTATCGACCAGCGACGCTTCTGCAATGCGCCGACATCGTAAGAACGCTTGCCGATGCTTCTCGAGGCTCTCTGCGATTGGCGCCACATTGCTCGTACACACAGTCCGTTGCTCCCATCTGGCCAAGGGGTCTGTGAACGTTTCCAAGTCGATTGGTTTACTCGATTTCGTTATTGGCATGTCTGTCGTGAGTTGGTCTGCTGCTGCTGCTACCGCCAGCGATAGTTTACATGGCGTGGCTGCTTCATCGTAATTTGTCGAACGAGGATGCGACAAGGCGGTGGCCACTGCGTCTTCCATCGCTTCAATCTCGTTGATCATGGCCAACAGATCGTGCAATTGCTGCCTTTTGGTTCGTTCTGTAGCGTATCGAGCCTTGGCCTGCTCCGTGTCGGTCAACGATACTGCTGCATCCTATTGAAATACAACCAAGCTAACATGTTTGTAAAACCAAGGTAGGTAGTACTACGACATATTTCAGGTAGCAACTAATAATAGTGTCAAATCGATTCGAAACTCGGTAGTTATTAGCAGAATCGAATTGTCGGCTGACGAGCATGAACTCAAGAACACCGCCCAAGCCAATCAAATATCGCGTTGTGGTAAATTTCTACCAATCCAAACGTTGGATTCGGCCCAGTCCCTCCGCATTAGCCATATATATATATACTTCGAAGTATATACTAATATTTGTACAGTTAGTTGACGAAATCACTCACAAGTCCAAATTTCGGTGAAATGCACTATATAACATTAGTATAAATAAATATATATACTAATGTTGTACTGTATAGTTTGAACAAGCTGTCCAATCGATCAAATAAGTGATTCATTCGAATGCTATCAATAATAGTGGGCGAAATCACGCCCAAGTCCCAATTATATCAAGCACAATACTATTAATAGTACTACATAACGATCCATGAAGAGTTTATTCAGAGAATCTTAACGCAATATTACCAGCAAGAGGTCGTCCACGAGTAAATCGCAAAAGTCTTCGGCGTGGTGGGCCACCAACGCCAACTCGTGTCGGGATAAGATCAAGGATAGGTGGCCCCCAGCATGACGCTCTTGGATCGCTCGAAGGGTTTCGTCGGCTTGGTGTACCAAGGGATACAAACTCGACTAGCAACGTTCAATCGTTTAACACTATTGTTTCGATGTATATATATATATATATCGCGTTTTGTGTGCATATTGATATGTACCTTGAAGCCATGTACGACGGAGGCGGCGCGCCGAAGGAATTCGGTTGGCGGGTTGTCGTTGGCCGTGGTGGATTGCTGATTGTTCCATCGCGTGGCCACCGCCGCTTCGGCGCGCCCAAACATGTCTTGAATGCGTCGCTATGAAATACACAGTACAGTGAGTTGAAATCATGACTACATATATGCCAAATCTGCAACTACTACTAGTACTACTACTAGTACAATGGACCAACCTCGATTTGATCAATGAACCACGACTCTTCTAACGGCGTGGCGGTTGGTTTCGAAATAGACAGTGGTGATAGTTGTGGTGACATCGCAAGATGGCCTAGAGTGCTAGCCTCCTCTTCATGATGACAATTTGGTGATGGAGCGGGGGAGGTGGTAGCAGCAACTATAAAATGGCTAGGCGGGGGTGCAATTAGTGGCTGGGATGATGATGGGGGGGATGGGGGGGATAATGGGGGGGGTGGTTGGTCTGAAGATAACGTGACCCACGCCGACGACTGCAACGTTTGCACGAGTGTTGTCCAGTCGTGTATGTCAATCGTATCGCCTTGGCCGTCGTTCACCAAGTACAAGTAGTCGGCAATCTACAGTCTTGGGGTTGATGTACAGTGTCGCATATGGCGAGGGGGGTGTTGCTGTACCTGTCGCATGGTCGTGGCGATGCCCAGGAGCTGCAGGCCTTGGTGAATCTCCCGGGCGTGCAGTGTGCCCTTTCGCTTGAGGTCCATCGCGCGAAATGTACTTTGAATCAACGGCACGTTCAGCGTTATAGTTGTGGGTGCTGTTGATGACTGTTGTTCCTGCGACAAGGAAAACATCTGCGACGACGGCGGCGGAGGAAACGATGGAAACGCTATATGGTCGTCCTTGTCCTCTTGGTTGGCACTCCCAAGCACGGGGGATGGCGACGGCGGAGAGGTCCGATCTGGAATGTTACGACGAAGATTCTACCGAGTACCAATGAACCTACGTATGCGTGGATAGAACAAGAATATTGGGACGCTACCTCCATGGCAGTCGACTCGGACGGTGATAAGAAGGATGCCGATGAGGGTTCAATTATGTGAGAACTGCTGGAAGAAAGAGGTGCAATGAACGCGGTAGATGTTTGAGAGTTGGGGCCGGTGGGGATGGTCGCCGATGGCACTGGGCGGTTGGGGGCAGCGGGGGGCGTCGTGGACGAACGTGGAGCTGACGACCTAGATGCTCGAGGTGGTGGGATTGCTGGTTTGGACTTGGTCGGTAGCGCAGCTTTGTTCTGTTTCGTTGGGGCGTAGGTCAAGGACACGGAGGCCCGAGGCTGCGACGCGGAGAGCACGGATTTATGCTCGACCATGTCGCGGTGTTTTTTTGGGGCATTGAACATCTTGGTCTTGGCCAAAGCTTGATCAAAGTACACTCCTTGCTTTACGTCGTCGTTCCACCCTGGGCGTGCTACGGTGCGTCTCCGAGGTGGTGGTATTGCAGGTTGCCGGCGTCGTTTGGGTGCTGTATAAGGAGCTAACGACGGCCCTCTGCTGATGCTACGCTGTTTGTGGTCTTTGGACTGCCATGGAATCGTAAATTGGACGGCGCGAGGAGCTTGCAGAGCTGGTCGCGATGGCGCAGAGTCGACAGGTACACCTCGTGAAAAGCTCAGGTTCTGCATGTTCATATGTGCAACACGCGATCCACGAAATTCAAGTTCGACAATTTCATTGGATGAATAAGATACCTGCTTTTGGCCAATGGCATCGATTCAATTGATATCGAAGGACAGTGGTAAGCTTGGTGTTAGCTAGCTGCTTAGGGCATCCCCACCAGTGCGACTGTATAATCAGACTGTATAATACCGTTTTACAGTTCCTGTATTTTGATTTTTGTCGAACCCAGCGGTAAAACTGTAAAACATCCGAATAATGTTATTATCCGGAAATGAACGCCTGGCGCGATGGCGTGGGAGGACGATGATGACATGGATCAAGCTTGGGAGATTCTTGGCTTTCATCAGTCTTCTGCGCGCCCTAAAGGCTCTATTGCCAACCGCCAGCCAGACCTACCACGACATAGCGAGGCTGCGCATGCTCGGATTTACCTACTACTTTGACCCCAATCCAATCTACGGCGAAGCCAAGTTTCGCAATCATTTTCGAATGGCCAGACCGCTGTTAGAACGAATCATGGACGGTGTGGTGATGCGTGATGAGTACTACCCTGTTTGTGGTCTTTGGACTGCCATGGAATCGTAAATTGGACGGCGCGAGGAGCTTGCAGAGCTGGTCGCGATGGCGCAGAGTCGACAGGTACACCTCGTGAAAAGCTCAGGTTCTGCATGTTCATATGTGCAACACGCGATCCACGAAATTCAAGTTCGACAATTTCATTGGATGAATAAGATACCTGCTTTTGGCCAATGGCATCGATTCAATTGATATCGAAGGACAGTGGTAAGCTTGGTGTTAGCTAGCTGCTTAGGGCATCCCCACCAGTGCGACTGTATAATCAGACTGTATAATACCGTTTTACAGTTCCTGTATTTTGATTTTTGTCGAACCCAGCGGTAAAACTGTAAAACATCCGAATAATGTTATCATCCGGAAATGAACGCCTGGCGCGATGGCGTGGGAGGACGATGATGACATGGATCAAGCTTGGGAGATTCTTGGCTTTCATCAGTCTTCTGCGCGCCCTAAAGGCTCTATTGCCAACCGCCAGCCAGACCTACCACGACATAGCGAGGCTGCGCATGCTCGGATTTACCTACTACTTTGACCCCAATCCAATCTACGGCGAAGCCAAGTTTCGCAATCATTTTCGAATGGCCAGACCGCTGTTAGAACGAATCATGGACGGTGTGGTGATGCGTGATGAGTACTACCCTTGGACACATCTTGAGAGATGTTGATCCATGACCGGACAAGCTGGTAGTCTTCGTCGGTCGTGAAGTTGGAACCACGGACGGCCTTGGCTGATTCCATTTCTGAACCAACTGATTATTGACTCCATAACGCACATGATTGGACAAAATTATCCATTGATAGCATGTTATTGGCTAATTTGTCAAAACTATATTTTACAGTCGCGACTGTAAATCTGGCCGATTTGGCGTCTCGCGGTAAAATTTTACAGTTTCCTGTATTTTACAGTCGCCCGGTTGGGGTTGTCAAAACTGTAAATAATCTGGATAGAACTGTATAATAGCGTTTACAGTCGCACCGGTGGGGATGCTCTTAGGATCCAATCAGTAGCGTAACTGCCAAGAATCATGTCATTGCTAACGTCTTGGAAGACGGCTATGTCCACCGACGAAAATGACAACAGTGACAACGATCCACAACAGGACGGGAAGGTAATCGATGCGTTTCCAGACGAGGAGAATGGGGAGAACGAGCAAGTAGTTGGTGGGCCCACGACGAAGCAGGGACAAGGACATGTCAGCAGCTTCTTGAGACGCCTTTCATCGCTGGGCAAGTCGACCAAGGACTTCGTCAAGGGAAATGACGATGACAATAGCGGGAGGCCCCAGGATTCGCCATCCCCGCCACCGCCAAACCGTCGGCGGTGGTCGCTTAGTAAGTTCACGAAGGACCCGTTCAACTCGATGAAGATGACTCAGGAGGAAGATGAAGTGATTACCACCACTGAGGGTGAAGAGCGACCACAACAGCCTTCCCCGACAAACAACAGCTATCGACGCCGTTGGTCATTGCTGTCAAAGGTCACTGAGAACCACACCAACGTCACAGCCGACGCATGCCAATACAGCGATGACAACGTGGACCACTGTCAAGGCAACGATTCCAACACTTCGTCGTCACCAATCAAGGTAGATTCTACCACTTCCGTTGGCGCGGTGGACACTCGATGCATTCGCGACATCCAAAGCGAGGCCCAGGTAGCCTATGGCATAGATTGTATTGCCCTAATATTGAAAACACAACTAGCGAGTGTGCTCCGTCATGAGTGGGGACGCCAAGCGACATCTGAAGATCCTTCGAAGTATAGACTCTTCGAACGCTGTGATCTCTGACGTCAAGACTGCCATCTCCCAGGCCAACGTGTGGCTAGCCGAATGCATATCCCCCACCAACAACGGCAGCGAGGACATCCGGCTCAAGGTGGCCAAGGTCACGCAGCAATTCCATGCTGAACGAAACCTTTTGCACGCGAATCACATGGCGCGCAGCGAGATCAAGAGGCTTTGCGATTTGGCCACGAAGAACGCGACTTCAGCCAAAGTCCGGGACGACCCGCCCCAGCAGCAGCATCGAACTATGTCATTTTAATCGCATTGTTCCATCTTTGGTTGATATTATTCTATTTATACCAACCAATGAAAACACAGCTAAATCACCATCACTCACATTTCGCCCGCCTTTTTAACCAATCCCCGAACGACAACCATCCAGCGAATCAAAACCTGGGATTGATTTTTTTCAAGATGGCCTATCGATGGGAAGACGACGACGCCACCGCCGCGATTGTGGCCAGCCTGCAGTCCACCGCTACCGTCGAGACGCGTGTGCTCCTAAAGCCTATATTCAGATGGGCCAAGCGTGAGCCAGAGAAAGCATACGAGTACGTCCTGTGGCTGTTGCAGCTGTACACGCATGGCGACGCCGACCGGCACATCGAAGTCCAGCGGACGCTTCAAGCCGACTATGCCATCAACACGCTCATCACTGCGAGTCAGCGATGTGGCAAGTCGATGGAGGCCGAGCGCGCGTTCAACTTTCTTCGCACACACAACTTTGTGCCCGATGTGTTTGCGTACACAGCGCTCATCGACGTCCTTGGTCGCGGCGGTCAAGCCGAGATGGCGCTCCAGCGGTATGATGAAATGCTGCGAACGCCTGTGGAGCCAAACATTGTGACCTTTACGACAGTTCTCCGCGTCCTAGCCATGAGGTAGGTACGAGCTATTCACAATTCTATCAAAGTTGTTGTTGCCATATTGACATGTGCCAAAGCAAAACAGTCGATGCCACCTTTGCAACGAGTGTGCTGGATCGGGCCAAGCAGCAGGACGCGTGCGATCCTTCCTTGTTCATGGAAGCCTTGGACATGTGCGCCAAGCGGGGCAACCTGGCGCTGGCCACCGACATCTTGCGCCGCCGCCGCCACAACCTCGAAAATGGAACGCTGTCGGATCTTCTCGTCGAGCGCGCCGTGCACTCGCTCAGCCGCGCCATGCGCAAGTTAGGATCGTTCGACATCGTCCAGGACTGGCTTGACGAAGGTTTGATCCATGAAGGCGACAAGGACGCGCTGACATTTGGCTCTGCCAACAACGGAATTCAGGGTATGCCACCAAAGCCTTGCATATACTTCGATGTTTCAACAGTTAATAGATACATCGATCACATGAATATTCGTTGCACTTGTCAAACAACAGCTAGAAACCATTGTCGTGCATGATGTTATGGTGTTGACTGTGATAGATAAAGCGGCGGTGGGCTGCTTGGGCTATGAGACGCCGGCGTCGGTGCGGCAGGCCGTGATCCAGCAAGATATTTTCAAGTTGATGGAGCGGTCGATTCGTGGCGTGCTGCCCACACGGTACGACACGTCACGGACAAATAATATATTGTGCATTTCACCCAAATTTGGACTTGCAAGTCATTTCGCCAATCCATGTGATCAAATTTAAGCTTGTACAAACTATACTTTACACATAACGGTATATATATATATATATGGTTTTTGGAGTAGTCAATGGTTTGGATTGGCAGAAATTCGACATGACGTGATTTGATTGGTTCAGGCGGTGGGTTATCTTGAATCAATTCTCCTAAGACATTCGATTCTGCTGCGAACTCGAGTTTCGAATCGATTGGACAATCAATATATATATAGTATTCAACACTTCTTACTTGTTGGCAAACCACTTAGTTGCGCACGCAGCGACGTCGACAACGAGATACATTTTTTCTTACCTTTTTTTATTTTTTAAAGATGAAATTTTTTAAAAAAAAATTCATCTTTAAAAAATAAAAAAAGGTAAGAAAAATTTATAAATAATTATAATTGATGTGTTGTTCTTGGCCATATATGAAAACAAAAAATATATAATTACAAATTATTACTAGAGTATATATATATTGACATATGTATACATTCGTTGAACGACATGACCGATAGGATGGATTTTGAAACGCTGATACATCAATGCCGCAAGCGCAAATGGAAACACGAAATCGACGCCGTATTTGTGGCCATGCACACGTTAGGAACTGTCGGGTGGACGTCCAAGTCGCAGGAACCATCGACCTTGAAACTGCCGCCCCAGCCCAACGTCCTGCCCACGGCGTCCACATATTTGGCCCTCATCGATGCGTTCATTTGCTGCAACGCCCCATCCCTCGCATGGAAGACGTTTGTCGGCATGGACGATATGCGCATCCCGCGCACCCAAGCCATCGTGCGCAAGTACATTCGCGGCGCGTACCTGACCATCAAGGACGACTTGACGACGGCCGATCCGCAGCTGTGGCACATGTGTGACGTGGTTCGGCTGGCGTTGCGGGATGCGATTCCCATCACCCAACGTATGGCCATGTACATTCTCCGGATGTACGGGAACGACGAGGTGGCGGGTCTGACAATCGTGAGAGGAATGCTACGAGGACATGATGATGATTCGACGACCAAGCGCCAGCTCACGCGGCGCATGCTGTTTGACGAACTCGTCCAAGCGTGTGTGTATGCATTCAACGCCCGCGGCGCCATCGTTGTCTGGGAAGCCTTCCAAGCAGCTGTCGAACACCAGGAGGATGCTTGTAATATTGGAGGTATTATGGTCCTTTTACCCAAAATGTGGCCTTTGGTGCTGCATTGCCAAATCTATCGATCGATTCTATACTCAAATGATTTTTTGTACTAGTATGTAAAAAGGGGTTTGTATATTGTGCTTTCGAGTGAAATTTCATTGTGTTGTGGCGTGGTTTCTCGTTGGAATTTAAATCGATTTGATTGGCTACCTCAGATGAGCTCAACATTATTAGCCAATCAAAACCTTCTCAATGAAATTCAACCAATCAGATCGATTGTGGATCGGTTTGGTCGGCGCGATTCGATTGTACCCCCTCCTCCCCAAATTTGTATATGAAATCGACAATATGCCACACACGAATATATATTGTCTTTCTTTTACCCAAAATTTGGTTGACTTTTGTGCTGATTCGCCAACTCTATCGATCGATTGTTTGTATTGACGTTTATATGCAAAATCGTGTAGTGTCACACTAATTGGAGTCATACACTAATTCGATGTTGCATTGGTCGAAGAGTGGACCATTTGATTGGCTACTTGATTCGTATTCTGGGTTTTGATTGGACAACGATCAATTGTCTGCCGATTTGGTGGTTCTGCTCACTATAATTTCGAATAATCGACTTGACACAAATATATATGTGTATCTTTGCATGATAGAAATCGCTAAAGCCAACGGGCACGACGAGACTCGGGAGGATGTGACACGACATACAACAACGACGGCGACCATGGAACGGGTGCTGCTGCTATCTTGTCTTCACGAGCCAGTCCTAGACGACGCCCTGCGTGCACTGCATGCTCACCAAGCCGCCCGCCGGCTGCTGCCCCTGCTGACTTACGAGTCTATTCTCCGTGAATTTTTCACTAAGTTCACGTCCAACCAGCTACTTATGAACGCCAGCGGCGTGGCTAAATCGGTCAAAGTTTGTATGTGTTTCGATCAATGCTATTAGGCTCGATTCGATCGATTGGACATCTCACATTGGTGATGCCGATATGGTGGAGTAGTGTATGAGCGACGGGCGCTATTTGAAGCCATCGAAGATCACGCGTCGGCGTTGCGCATGACAAATACATGGACGGATGCCATGAATAGACCCGAGATCGACGGCTTGCAGTGGTGTGTGGCCCAAGTGTCGTCCGTCGCGCCGCTGCTCCTGGCCCAGCATGTCCACGAACGCTTCACGGTGGTCCGCGACAAGGCCGGCAAGGTCGCCGCCGAAGCTGCCGCCAGGTCGGCACTCAACTTGTCGCCCGATCCGCTCCTGCTGGTGCTGCATGTATTGCTGGCGTTCCCCAAACTCGACATCAGTTTCAGAGTGCAAGCCAAGTTTGCCAAGACACTGTTTTCATTGGCAAGTACTACTCCTACACGTACTCCTTGGGTATTGCACCTACTACTTGGTTACTACACCTACTTCTTGGTTATTGCACCTACTATTTGGTTGTCGCACCTACTCAACTCTTGCTTACTGCACCTACTCCTTGGTTACTACACCCCCAATTCCTTGGCTACTGCACCTACTACTTGCGCCTACACTACTTGGTTACTGCTTGGTAATTGCACCTACTCCTTGGTTATTACTATTCCTATTGTTTTTAACCAAGGAGTAGGTGTATTACTACACCTACTCTTTGGTTTGCTGCACGTATTCCTTGTCAACTACACGTCCTCGTTGGTTCGTGCACCTACTCCTTAAATAATCCTGCACCCGTTCCTTGATTATTATGTACTACACCAACTATTTGGTTATTACTACACCTCTTTTTCTTGGTGCTAATGTCGATGGTGTATATCTAGGTGCCGCGGGAAGCCGCCACGCCGTCGCCGCACCATCAGGCGCAATGCATCATGCATCTGGATGACATGTCCATGTACCTCATGCAAGAACTCAACGTCGTGTTCGACTTGGTCGGCATCGACATCTCCCGCGTGGCCGCATTTTGTGCGCGCACAATCGTACTCGACCACCATCCAGAGAAAACTCTCAACTTTATCATCGCGCGGCCGGCGTTCTTCGAGCCCGAGATCGCCGCGTTGCTTGTGCCAGCGTTGGCCGAGCTGTACGCGCAAGGCGTGACGTTGGTGCTGCGGTATATTCGGGCGAGTTTGACCGATGCACGTGTCGCCGCGGTGGTGCCGGTGCATTTCACCAGGTTCAAATGTCTCTATAGGATGATTTCGAATTATGACTTGTGTGTAGACTCGTGGAACAGTGGACGGACGAGTACCCGGCAGCGGACATGCACACCCTAATCAACGAGTTTGGTCTGCAGGCCGAGTTTGCGCACCACGTCGTGGCTGCCGCCGCGCTCTCCCGCCGGTCCTCCGTCCGGCCGCGTGTTGTTGTGCATGATCCGTCGGTTGTCTACTATTCCCTTCCCATCGATCGCGACCGGGTGATATTTGTCGACTCGGACGCGGCCGTCGAAGCCGCGCACGCGATCCTCCTCCAGAGTCCCGTGGTAGCATGGGACGTCGAGTGGCGGCCAGACCAGATGCCCGTCAAATCCAAGTGCTCGATCATCCAACTCGCCTGTGCGTCGCACGTGTTTATATGCGACGTGGTGAACCATTGGACAGACGCGATGCATGCGCTGGTCGAAGCGGTCGTGACAGCGAGCGTGCCGTGGAAGGTCGGGTTTGGACTTGTGGGGGATGTCCATCGCCTCCGGTACTCGTTCCCCGACATGAGCTGCTTTGAAAGCCTCGACGACTGGGAAAATGTCGTCGATATTCAAACGTACTTGAAATCCACATGTACAAAGAACCAGCAGCGCGGGACCGTCGGGTTGAGCAAGTGCTGCCAAGATATCCTCGGGTTTCCCCTGGACAAATCCCAACAAATCAGCGACTGGGAAGCTCGACCGTTGACCGAAGCCCAACTGGTGTATGCTGCCAGCGACGCGTACTGCCTCCTTGACCTCGTTCGTGAGCTCAACCCTCCTGAAATGCGCTCCATGTACATGTAGATGAATATCCATGTACTATAGTTTCGTGAGCACGATATGTATGGGTAACTTGGCGAATACGACAATTCTATCCGACATTAGTCTTATTGGTTAAAATTTCAATACTTCGTACCTTTCATTGGTAGATGACTCTTCATTTTCAATACAAAGACCAAATGTCGTATGTTGGTTTTTATACAATCTCTGACGAGGTGAGGACATGAACCGTGAGGAGCAGCCTCTGCACGCAATACACGTGGCACACGACGTGGCTCCGGGTGCCACGTGTAATGCGTGCAGAGGCTGCAACATGGATTCGCACCCTAAAGTTGCGTTTGCGGCCTGATCACAGTTCTTGCTGT